TGGTCTAGCGGTAGAGTGCTGGACTGCTAACCCGTAAGTCTCGAGTTAGAAACCGTGTTCAAGTCAGTAGACCTTCCCTGAGTCCACCCAACTCTGATAGGTACCTAACTCACGTTGGGAAAGTAAAGGCGGCTGGGGATAGTGCTGACCACACTATCTCTTCATATGCCGAGGTCACAGAAACAAGTAAACTCTACTTCACTTGCCCTATTGACTGTCATGTTTGAAAAGGGAAACTTTAACTGCTAAACTACCGTTAATGTCAACCAACTACAATCTCACCAACACTATTAACATGGGCTGGATTTAAATCACCAACTATCATCTCAACTTCATCAACCGAAGTATCCAGAAATTTCAAAACTATCTTTTATCACTTCATGGATACTACTACTATCAATACCAACTTCAACCACACTTTCTACAGTGCTAGAAAAAAGAACCAATTCAGGGATTCTAAAACTTTCAACAGTGCTAGCAATCTACATACCTATAGTCTACATGTCCCTAACTTAACTAACCTTGGAATTATCACAGTGAAATTTAAATAATGAGTACCTAAACGTTGCATCTAAAAATGACCAATAATCATAATATGACATTGAAAAGAACATGAAAAGCATTAATAAAAAGTTGAAATTGATAAACTACCAGTATCTAACAAGATCAACACTGATCAACTCAAGTCCAAGTTTAAAACAAACTGAAGTAATGTGACTTCAGGGTAGGCCAGGGTTAAGAATAAAATGCATTTACATTTTTGTATGTACTAAATTGTAAGTAAAAAAAAAAACAATGTCGCCAGTTTTATAGGTCTTAACAGTACATAGTGTAGCCTAACAGTTCTAGAAATAGCCAATACATATAAGGGTGTGATGTGTTTTTGTTGTTTGTGTTGGTTTCTCTGTAATGAAAATTGTCTCTCCTTTTGAAATTTACCCAATGGGTGGCCATGCCGTCCCAACACCTTAAAAATACAAAGATACAGTAATCGTTTAAAGACAACACAATCTTGTTCTGGCCATACTCCTCCTACGACTACAAGTCAAAGCTTCTCCAAAACGAACATATCTTGCACCTACTTGTTAGATGAACATGACAGTTCTGACACTGCCTGTTTGAAAGCTGTTTAACGTGGTCAGAGAGCTGAAAACACAGCATGGGAAGTCTCTCCCCATAACAAGTCACCTCAGATCTTTATCAACCATCAATATTGATGTCTTATCTGCATAACAGTGGCTTTTAATTTTGAGAACAATATTATATATTCGTGCTGACTAATTGGCTAACACAGCATAGCCTGTCATCAATGGCATACCACTGTCATCAACTATCAGAAAAGACATTATAGGTCTAGCCTGATTGTTCAGTCAATTAGTCGAATCAATTAAAATATGTTCAGGGAAGTCCCGAAACGCCTCCCTCATATTTGTGTTAGAGAAACAAAAACTCTAGTACACCCTGAACATACCGTTGCTATGATCCGATTGTTCAGGCATTAAGGTGAATCAAAAAAATTCAGGGAATTCCCGAAACGCCTCCCTCATATTCGTTGTTTGTAGAAACACAAACTGTAGTCCAGCTTGGCCATCCATACCATATTCTGCCTGCAAACCTTTGTCCTGCACTTTAAGATCTCTACGCCTTGCAGAATTGGTCATCATTCAGTGTTGAACATGTTAGAGATGACTTTGCCTGCAATTAAGTACAACACTTTTAAAATATAAAAAATGTAGATGTTCAGCTTCAATATGTAAGGGGCTATATGCACCACCATCATATATCCTACTTAAGTCGTTGTCTATGAGTATTATACAGCTATGAAATAATTTTAGAACGTACTGACAATATAATTGGTGTAAATAAAGTAGCTCTACTGTAGAAATTTCGACCTTTCAATAATGTTAATAGTGTACATCATTACGCTCTTAAATGTGAGATCGTGAAATATGCTCTATCCTTTTTATGATTTAATGAAGTAATGATAAATTAGTGTACTAACTGTAGTTGGTGATAATACACATCTTGTTTTAATTCCCATCTTTTTGTTCCAAATATCCTGGTCAATGACAGGTTTTCTATAAAACTTTTTCCTGTAAAGTGACGTTCGTTCGAACACTGAGCTGTTGCAGCTCTTCTTCTCTCCCTTGTTCTACTTCGCTGCATTTTCTATTGCACATTTTAATTTCTTGCATATCTCATGTTTAATTCTGGGCCTATTAAAAAAAAAAAAAATCAAAGTCAGAAAAAGTATTCATAAAATATGTTGACCACTATCAACATATTTTAAACTATGTTATAATTTGAACATTATGTGTAAAATAAGCAAAACATACCAATGGGATGGTTACGTTTGTTTATAAATTGTTTCACAACTACTTGTGTCTTGCTCTTAGATAACTACCATCAATTTTGTGCAGTGAATTTATATTTTTCGATATGCCGATAAAAAAAAAATCGTTACATATTTACAACAAATCCTACCCTTGATTTATGGAATAGTTAAGAGTAAAGCGGGAAATGAAGTTAACAGATACCATTCCATTTTACATGAAAGAAACTACAGATACACACAAGCTCTTGAAATAAACTGTTCAATATAGGCCTACTAAAAACTACAATGCTAAGTAAGCACCAACGAGTATAATGTTGTAAAACTATAAAATAATGTTGATGGAAATCTAATCACTAACGATCTATAATATAAAATAATGTTAATAAAGAACTAAATCTAGGTAGTTAAAAAATGAAATGTTTTATACCCATGGCTGCGCATGCGCAGATTTTTAGCTTGAGATCAACTTCACAGTGTAATTTCAAAAAGTCACTGATAAAATAAACAGGTGCTCTTCACATAACTTACTGAGTTACCTTATACGTTGCCACTGTGTTGCATTACTTAAATAGTTGTACTCAGGACACAACATTAGACGCCATGAAGTTTACTTAACATCATTATTTTAAGCTTGCAGAGAACAGTCTCTGCCCAACGTGTAAGCTCCTTGTACTCAGTCGCTGACGGAAGTACACACACAGACTACACACTCAAGGGATATAACCATTTTAATGTGTAATACAAGGGACGTTACCAGTAACAAAAAAAAACGTATTGCTAAATAGATTGAAATTAACGTATTTAAATACATGAACAATTTCAATGATCTTATAAAGATATATAAATAAATATTTATTTAACAAATGTAAATAGTATGTTTTTATGTTTAGAATATACTGAGAGTTAGTTATAAAGGGCTCGGATAAGAAAAGGTTTTAATATGTGTAATAATGTGTGTACTGAGTATTATTTTATCGTGTTACAATTGACCTATTTGTGATAGCAGAAAGTCCTGCCAACTTAGGCGTATGCAAGATATAAGTTAGTAAAAGAATGTTTGCATGAAAAATAACTCGGTGTATGCGGACAGCGTGGCCTAGAGGTACGAATGTCTCGAGTTCGAATCCGGGGTAACGAAAACGTTATGAGTCCACCTTGATTGTCAACTAACTCACGTTATGGAAAGTAGAGGCGGTTGGGCAAAGTGAATCACCAAATCTAACAGGAAACTTTTTTTTTATTCATTATGTATATAATGTGTAATTAATTAAATCACGATACCTACGATGATTTAACGAATACAGGCTATTGAAACTGTAGCTTTTTGCTGTTGTTTTTTTTCCTCGCATCAACTGGTGAAGTGCATTGAATATATATTAATGCTCTTTTCGCATTGGCGATTTAATGACTTTAACATAATAACTTGCTTTCATTAGAGACTTGTTAGCCCAGAAGTAGCGAAAAATGTAGTCGCACATCGCTCAATTGGTATCTAGCGCTTTCTGTGTTGTTGCTGCTTGTCATCTATACAATAGTTAACTACAACTTAACCAACTGAAGGATCTACAAGAGATCTGAAATGAACATATAACGGATATCTTACTATTTATCTCTACAATCATCATCATTCTAGATGGAAGTAAAATGCCACAAGTTACTATCGCTAATGACATTCTAATTAACCTCGAAAAGATAACTATATCATGCAAATCTCTGATTAACTTCACATAAATCGCTATATCTGATAAACCAATGACCAACCTTAGACACATTTCTGAGTCGTCAATACACAAAAGTCTTGTGTTATCGTTCCATCAACTATAATAATATGACAGATAATAAGTTTTCAGAATATCAAGTCAAAAGAATATTAATACAACCGTTTGTGTTATCATTATTTAATTATTATATTCTCAAAAGAAAAATCTGATTTTAAACGTTTTTAAATACGCAAATAACAACTACATACTTTTAATGTCTAGAAACCAACTAATTAGTAAATATTGTCTTATTAAAAGTAATTTTGTATCAACAACTAATTAGCGGAACACTGGGTAATGTATAGTATACGCAAGTTTACGTTTGATTCTAATTTTAAATTTAAAAAAAAGAATTTCGTTTTAACAAGACTGCTAATTTTACCTTCATATAACTCGCATTATCAACAATGTATCAGTCTTGATAATTATTTAATCATTATTTAAATTATTTATAATTATACATCGAGGTGCTGTATATCTTTTTACTAAATTGAGGGATGATTAAAATCGATGTACTATAATAACTGGTATATGAGTAATTAAAAGAAATTATCAAGATCCGTTAATAAAGTAAAATTTTCTGTTTTAAAATATGAAATGTTTAATAAAATATTATCATTGTAAATAAAGTGAGAAATTAGATTAGTCAATTAGAGATACTCATTAAATTTCTAAAAATATAAGAAATAACCGAATGTGTATTAAGTATAATACATTCGTCTATATTTTCAAGTAACATTTTAACCGTGAAACTAACATAATGCAAGCATTTAATTTAAGCTGTGTTTACTGTAAGATTAAAAAAATTGAAATATCTCTCCAGTTATTTATATTTTAACTAGCTGACAAAAGTTTAATAAATCTAGTAGGTTTTATAACCTAGAAGAAAAATAATTTGTTTTACGATGTCTGAAGAATTTAGCATGTTAGGAGAATTGCAGAACACGTCCTACAAAGATGAAGCTAGGGATGAAACAGTAGTTAAACACGACCAAGTTATAATCGTTGTACCTTCTTTAGTTTTGGACTTTTTCTTGACATTTAACCTGTTGATCTGTGGAAACATCATTGCTCTTTTTGGAATTGTCGGAAACATCATCAACATCATAGTCTTTAAAAAGCAGGGCTATGAGGACAGCGTCAATATAACTTTAACTGCTCTGGCGGTCAGTGATATCGGGGCGTTGGTCACTGTGTTGATGTTTAACGTCATGTCCAATCCTTGGTTTCTACATGCAGACATTCCGTTTTCGCAAATCGATTTGCCTTTCATGCTAGCATTTTACCCTCACAATTATTTCATCCGTGTGTGTGGGTTCATCACAGCCTTCGCGTCGTGTGAGAGATGTCTGTGTGTTTTGGTGCCCCTAAAAGTAAAACAAATTGTAACAACGCGAATCTCGTTTGTTATCAATGTTCTAATTTTTCTAGTAATGAGTTTGGATTTATTACCCGTATATTACGTTGTTTACTTAGATTGGATGTTTGTTCCCAATTTAAATAGGTCTATTATAGGAGCGTTGTTCCGGGAAAACCCGTATAATATTTTTGGCGTTTCTTATTTTGTAACTGATCTCTTTATTCCTTATTTCACGTTTTTTATTATTATAGTCTGTAATGTAGTCATTGGTATAAAGCTTAACACCAGATCAAAGTGGATCAACTCTGTTCAGATAACTCCTAAACTAGACACAGCTGTTTCTAACAAAGAGAAAAAAGTTGTCCTGATGTTGATTGTCGTCTCCGTCATCTTCATCGTCTGCCTCATTCCTCAGTCATCGACACTGACGGCTGTCGGTCAAGTGTCCAGTTTGATGGTTGGTGGCATGAACTTTGACCTGGCTATGGTGTGTTACAGCATCTCGTATCTGATGGAGACTGTCAGTTCTAGCGTCAACATCATCGTCTACTACAAGATGAGCAGCAGGTATAGGAAGACATTACAAATAATGTTAGTCCAGAGAAATAAATAATAATCAGACAATCAATAATCTTGCACCAACAAAAGTAATAAATGTGTCTATTTATATATTAGCCTTTTTGGCCAATGTAGTTTTTTATTCATTATATATGGATTCTATAATTTTGTTTACATACACCATTTCTAACCATGGGCAGCAGATACAGGAAAACATTACAAATACTGTTCGTCTTGAGAAATAAATGATTAAGTCAATAATCTTACACTAACAGAAGTAACAAAAAGTATGTTTATACATTAGCTGTTTTGCAAATGTAGTTTTATATGCATTTAAAATCGATTCTATAATTTAGTAGGTATACATAAATCATTTCTAAACATGAGCAGTAGGTACAGGAAGACTAATGTTTGTCGAACGAAACAAATGAGTTCTTATACAATCTTTCAGTAACAGCCTAGCAATGTTTAAACTTACACACTTTGTTTGAATTTTCCCTATTTTACTTTTAAACCACTTCTTTCACCCACACATATTAAGATTTCCATATGATTCATTGTTTGATGAAATAGTATCAAAGCGAAATCGAACGCTCTGTTGTTGGTAAGTTAACATATCTCTAGGAAGCCTTACATGTAGCGTTGTTTTAAATCTAGTTGTAATCCAGCTCTGTAAACACTCTCTCTTTATCTCAGTTGAATTGAAGATGCTTTACGTTTCTCTATGGTGAAAAAAAATAAAAATAAAATAAATTCCTTTCGCGTTTGTAAGGGTAATAAAATGATTGTATAATAGAGACCGTAAATAAAACAATAGATACTCCTGAACAAATAATAATATTTAAAATCAATAATAAAACTGTCCGGCCTTTCTTCAAGACTTATTTCTCCAGGGCGGGGGGCACTTATAATTTTCAGGGAGGGATAGGGCGGACTAAAATTTCCAGGGGGTGGGGGGGGGGGGGGGGGGGGCGAGAGACACTGGTAAAAATATATTTTTTCAATATACATTAGTTTTTGTTCGAGGGGGGTGGGGGTAGCGCAGCCGTAACAAGAATAATTTACTATAATTTTATGTTTTAACCACACAAATACAGTACAGGGAACTTGAAATATATTTTTGTTCACCTAAGGCTACGATTCTGTACAAATACAGTACAGGGAACTTGAAATATATTTTTGTTCACCTAAGGCTACGATTCTATTTATTTTCATCAAGCCATAATGTTTACTTGAGATTTCTCTCAAGTAAGATAAACTTTAATGGCTGTATGAAAATCATTTCATAAATTTATTTTATGTTCATTTGTACTTAAAATGTTGTCGGTTAAAAAAGTTTTAAAAAAGAATTATTTTCAAAAATAGTTACGTGGTTTCTATAAAAACACAAATAAGTTTTAAAAACTGCTTTTGCCCTTTTAAAAATTGTGTATATGGTACTGAAATACTAGAGACATCAAATACATCCACTCTTTTACAAAGCCCTACAAAACCCAAACAATTACGTTTTTACTTTCTCGTATATACGTAGTATAGAGAAAGTATTGTAATCGTGCAAAAAAAAAAAAATCGAGATTTTTACAAATCTCGACGTTTTACACCTCACTGATACGGAAAAACATAATTTTGCAATCTTGTCCGTATGTCTGTGTGTGTGTGTGTCTGTCCGTGTGTGTGTCTGTCCGTGTGTAAACACGATAACTCGAGTACCGTTACAGCTAGGTTGATGAAATTTCATATATAAGTATTTTATCAAAATCGTAGATCCGTATCAACTTTTGAGCGATTTCCGATAACCGGAAGTGGTACTTTTCCTACTTTGAATTTTTTAAAAGCCTATAACTTGAGTACTGTTTCAGATAGATAAATGAAATTTCACATGTAAGTAAAAGATCTAATTCTCTACCTTCTGTTAAATTTTGAGTAATTTCCGTTGACTGGAAGTAGTAATTTACGCTACTTCCGATTTCTCAAAAAACTAATGTAAATTTTAAAAGTACTAATAATATTGCGCACTATTATGCGCTTTTTTTTATTTGCGTTCACTTGGTGTGCAATTAATTTGTCTACGAGATTTTATTCTATTTTTAAAACTTTAAGTATTTAAAATGGATTAAAAATCATGTCTATAGCCCGAGTTCCCATCCCCTGTTATTTTATATAAAAATATTCGAGAAAGTTTAGGGGAGATCACTACCGTTTTATTATAATCCAATTTTGTTTACAACACTTCTCATGGTTTTAAAATTGTTTAATTGAATCAGTCGAGTCCAAGGTAAGTTTCCTACAGTGTCTCCTTGAATTTTCTTTAATTCGCGACGGGTTAGCAAATATTTTGTTTTAAATATCAATGTTAAATTTTCTTTGGTTTAGTTTGACTTTGTCATGTGTTCTACTTGTTTCGTAAAAAAAAATATTCATCCATGGCCAGCGCAGATGATCACATTCAAAATTTCCCTTATAGGTATGTGAAATTATATATTTTTAAAATATATTCTACTTCTGACCATTAAATTACTTATCGTATAGTATTTACTAACTTCCATTTTCACATCAAACTTGGTGTAACTAGAAAATTTTGTTTTTTAATATATGTTTGTATTATAATATCTGTAGTAAATTATATCAACATACTATTACTTACAAGAGCTTCATCAATAATAATTACAGTATTTTCTTAACATAATATATGTATACAAAAAAGTAGTGTACCAAAAACTTTTTAGATGTTAGTAAAGTAGTAACGTGAAGTAGAGTTCACTTGATTCTGTGAACTCAGCATATAAAGGGATACTGTTGTCAGCACTATGCCCAGCCGCCTTCACTTTCCCTAGCATGAGTTAGGTACCCACCAGAGATGGGTGGACTCAGGGACGGTGTACTACATTACTCTCGAGACTAATATATTAAATGAGAAAAAAAAACACCAACAAAATAGTAGATTGTGTTCTAATGTTGAGCATTACTGTGAACTTTATTTAATTTCGATTGCTTCTTTTGCTAAACTATAAGTAAGTAATATAAACGTAAATGTGTTCATCATCTATAGAATTATTTGACTTTATAATTACTAACTATTGTGAAACAATCCCTTCAATTTTTTTCTTGAATTATCATTTAACAGAGCAGTAAAGATGATTGCCTCAATTAAAATGATTGATTTAGGGTTTCTTTCATGTTTTCTGTGTACCGCTGTCAAGAATGTAATTATTATGAGACTACATCTCTAAATGTAGGTTTTGTTACAAGCGATAAAATATTGATGTTATAAAATTACACTTTTTTTAAATTTTAAAATGGACGAAAATTATCTAAACACAAAGCATACTTTTAAAATAGTAACAGAAAGTCCCGATCAATCAAGATTACCTCGGTACTGATCATACGAAAAGTAAATAGGCCAAAATAATTACCACTTTAGAATCATCGAAAATATATTTGTTGGTTGTTTAATAACATAATTTACGTATATTTTCTACAACTATAGGGGAACTAGACAACCAAGTATCAATTGATTCTACTATGTATTTACTAATATTTCGCAGCATTATAAAAATTCACCATGTAGGTCATAATCTTATCATAATATCTTGTGTTAGTATCACACAGCAGAGATACCATAACATAACATCTACAGCTATGTCTGTAAATGTGACTTTACAAACTCAGTTCGGTGCTTCACTCTACGTCAGTCCAGTCGCTCTGGAGTTCTTCCTGACCTTTAACCTATTGATATGTGGAAACATCATTGGGGTTTTGGGAATCTCCGGAAACATCATCAACATCATCGTCTTTTACAAGCAGGGCTATGAGGACAGCGTCAATATAACTTTAACTGCTCTGGCTGTCAGTGATATCGGGGCGTTGGTCACCGTGTTAATGGTCAATGCAATGATGAATCCTTGGTTTCTGAAGGCTGACGTTTCAGTTGTGCAATTAGACGTAGCTTCAATGATAGGTTTTTACCCACACAATTATTTCATCCGTGTATGTGGGTTGATCACAGCCATCGCGTCGTGTGAGAGATGTCTGTGTGTTTTGGTGCCCCTTAAAGTCAAACAAATTGTAACCAAAAGATTTTCTGTATTAGTCAACGTTTTTATATTTCTTGTTATGCTATTGGATATGTTTCCTGTTTATTACGTTGTTTATCTAGATTGGAGTTTTGTTCCTAAGTTAAATAAATCACTAATTGCTTCGAATTATCGTCAAAATCCGTACAATGTATTCGGAATTTCTTATTTTGTTACCGATGTTTTTGTTCCATATTTTACGTTTTTTGTTATAATTTTATCTAATGTTATTATTGGGTTAAAGTTAAACGCACGAGCTGAGTGGATAAATTCTGTGTCTCGCAAGGAAATCAAGAAAGATAACATCGTGTCGAATAAAGAGAAACGTGTTGTCCTCATGTTGATCGTCGTCTCTGTTATCTTCATTGTCTGCCTCATTCCCCAGTCAGCAATACTGACAGCACTTATCCAGGTGCCAGATCTAAGTGCTGGGGGTCGGTACTTCGACCTGGCTATGGTGTGTTACAGCATCTCCTACCTGATGGAGGCCGTGTGTTCTAGCGTCAACATCCTGGTCTACTACAAGATGAGCAGTAAATACAGGAACACTATTAGTGAACATTTTTTACAATGTTATAGCTAACTTTAATAAAATCTGCAAGAAACATTAATTTTATTACTTTCAATAGCAGCAGTGTAGATTATATTTTGTAAACGATGTTGCTAATTTTGTATTGGTTTATTAATTCTTTTTATATGTGCATTTGTATGCCTACCGATAGTCTTTTATAAATATAAATAAAAATAAATAATGTTTGAGCGATTTTACTAACAAGGTGTTAACTATAAAACTGGAGCTTTAGTACTCTAATACAATGCTAGTGTAAAAAAAACATATTTTACATGTAAGAATTGTAAGTAAGTAAAATAATGTGTAGTCTCTATGACCGTGGGTCGTCTATTTTATAGATCATGCACATAAGACGAATAATTGATATAACCATTGAAGAAAGTATGCAAGTAATGTATTTGAATTGTAATGTTAATGTATTTGTATTTTACTTTGCAACTGAGAATGCACATTGATTTCTTTATTTTACTTTTCTTAGCACATTGTATGTAAGGATGTAAAAGCAAGACGAAATTGGATAACATTTCAAATCATCAAGGCAAGTCAGACATTGCTAACAAACTAATAGTCACTGCGTTATCTATGATATAATCAAGATACTAATTTATGTAATACGTTTTTTACGGTATTTTCGCAGTTGGCTATATTATAGACCAAAGACCTGAACTTCGGAGTTAAGCTTTCACACAGAATTTTTTTTTACTTTCTCGTATATTCGAGGTATAGAGAAAGTCTTGTAATCTTGCAAAAAAAAAACAAAACCGGGAGTGATCTCCCCTTACCTTTCTCGAATATTCTTATATAAAACAACAGGGGATGGGAACCAATAACCGGAATAGGTTCTTTTTCTACTTTGAATTTTTCAAAAGCCTATAACTTGAGTACTATTTCAGAAAGATAATTGAAATTTCACATGTAAGTAAAAGATCTAATCCTCTACCATCTTTCAAATTTTGTGTGATTTCCGTTTGAACGGAAGTAGTTATTTACGCTATTTACGATTGCTCAAAAAACAGATCAATACATATAATACTGTGTTGTAATGTTTCGAATGATATGTGTAGTTTATCTGTGTAGTTGTTAATCAAGTAATGTTTCGTCTTGTTAGTTATTGTTGCTTCCATTGTATTATATATATCATTGTTACGTCCCTTGTATTTTCATAGTGTACCGTACTGATTTGTACGTGTGTAATCAGTTTATTAAGACAGAGCTGGAGACTACACTTGTTGTCTGCGATGTATGGTGCAAATAATACAATTGTGACGTTAACTCGAAGAAGTCCCCTGTTTATTATGAATGATATAAACCAAGTAATTTAACAAATTCACGTGAAAGACTACGTAGCGAAAATTTCGTATTAGGACCGTGCTCAATAATTTTTTTGCTAAAGGACACCCAGCTTCTAAAGAACGCATCCATGCCATTATATTCTATCACGAATCAATAAAATCGGAGGGCTCATTCCAAAAATTTTGTGTTATAATAATTCATCTAAGCTCTGTAGATTTTAACAAATATTTCAAAATAATTAGTTTAATAATTGTCACCAATAAAAGTAATTTTACGTACGTGTATTATCTTTGGAACAGGTCATTGTAAGAATCACAAATGTGATGGGTACCTTTGCGTATCTGTAGATTATTGTCAAGGCATTGAAACTGGAATTGAATTTGCCATTATATAGATTTGTATTTGACTAGACTAAGGACACCCCAGGACAGAGTAATGCATTTAATAAGAGTGTTTTAAGGTTCCCATTGACCGTAGGCAGTAAAGTCTGAGAGTGTTTGTTGTTGTTTTATCTATTTAATAGAATGTGTGGTGTGAGTATGATGCGACTAGTACAACATGACGTAGGAGACAGAACTTCGAGGAGTTTTCGAGAATATACGTAGTGACTAAAGAAAGATTTGTAATAGTGTAACAAGTGATTGGTAGAATTTAATTGAATATCTGCTTAACAGTTAAAAGTTGTGTTCAGAAATAGTAATCCTTAATGTTTTATTGCCATGCATGGCGTGGCCTGTTTTAAACGTTCGTGCTTGGCTTGGTATAAGTGGAGAGAAGGCGAGGCAGATATAAACAACACTGGATGGTGAACAAAAATAAATAAGCTTGGTTATTTTTTGAATAATTACGTGAAACAGCAGAATAAGGAAAAAAACATGGCATAACATTATTAAAAAAAAAAAAACAACAAAAAAAAAATTGTATGGTGTCTATAAGATCCCAAATCCTTCACTCATGATTATAAGATGAATGATTGATAGATTGATATTTTTTAAAAATTAAATAGTGAGTAAAAAAATGTTGGGTTTTAAAAAAAATATTTGAAGATAGGTATTCATGTCTTATTTTAGATTTTCTTTCTGTATTAACAAAAAATCCTACATCTGTGTTGTTCAGTTGGTATCCAAAGTTATTTTATACTTGTAATTGCCGTCCTTTTTTAAAAAAAGAATTCCAGACAGTGGTATACTTGCTAACTTTAACTGGAAGAACAATAATTAACTGGACGAGAATCCACTTACATTCATGTTGCCGTGGTTATTGATCGTACCATCATTTAAAAAGAAAAGTTAAGTCAACGTTGTTTTTTTTTATAATCACACTGTCATTTTATCTCCGTAAAACATAAGCGAAAAAGTTAATTAAACCTTTCATCGATTTCAAAGACATAAAGGAACGTTATTTTTAAAAAAAAGTATATTATTTGATACTAAACTGTAAGAAGAGAAACTTGGGAAAAATGAATACCGCAATAATTAAAAATCAACTTAAGTAATAATTTTGAGGGAAAGGCAAAAAAAAAACAATATCAAAGAGGACATATTATATTCAACCTACTTCAAAAGTTCATAGATAGAACATCGGTACTGGGAATGTAGGGATATTATAATTGAAGTTATCCGTCAGTTGAATACAGACATTGTGCTGTGAAATTAGTCAGCTACGTTTTTTAATTAAAATAATTGGTGCCCGTAAGTTATTTTAACACGTCCTCAATAGTGAAACAATGTGTGCTATACTAGGTGTTGCTAGAATCGAATTTGTAATTACACACTTTCTATGAAATATATATACTATTTGTTAAATATATTTTTCTTTAGCTACAACTGATAATATTTAGAATGAAATTATTTTATTGAAATACTTAATATTTCAAAACCATATCTTTAGTAAATATACAACTACGATTTATATTTATTTAATGCTAATATACATTACATGCACTATAAAAACATATTAAGAGGTTGAGAACGTTCAAAAACATTTACTGTATAACGTTAGTTTTCCTATAAGTAAATATCTTTGTATTTAAGAGCCTTATATATCACCATGGCTGAGGCTAGCTTCAACATACAGGGTGTTCAAAACTTGACCACATTGACAACAGAGGTGACAACAACAGCAGTAGTAAGTGCGTCAGTAGGTCTGTATGTCAGCCTTGTAGTTCGTGACTTTTTCTTGACTTTCAACATGTTGGTCTGTGGAAACATCATTGGAGTTTTGGGCATCTGCGGAAACATCATCAACATCATCGTCTTTAACAAGCAGGGCTATGAGGACAGCGTCAATATAACTTTAACTGCTCTGGCTGTCAGTGATATCGGGGCGTTGATAACTCTAATAATATTTAACGTTATGATAAATCCTGTGTTCGAAAAAGCGAATTTACCAATGATTCCGGTTGATGTCGCTTCAATGGCGGGGTTTTACCCTCACAATTATTTCATCCGTGTGTGTGGGTTGATCACAGCCTTCGCGTCGTGTGAGAGATGTCTGTGTGTTTTGGTGCCCCTTAAAGTCAAACAAATTGTCACCAAAAAAGTTTCTGTTTTAGTCAACGTGCTTATATTTATCATCATGCTATTGGATCTGTTTCCTGTGTATTACGTAGTTTATCTAGATTGGATGTTTGTTCCAGGGCTGAATAAAACAGTCGTTGCAGCTTCGTTTCGTAAAAACCTCCATGCTGTTTTTGGTATTTCTTATATAGTGACGGATCTTTTTGCTCCATATTTTACATTTTTCGTGATAATTTTTAGTAACATCACCATTGGCCTAAAACTTAATTTAAGATCTAAATGGATACAATCAGTATCTCAAAAACCTTCTAACAAAGAGAAGTTCGTGTCTAACAAAGAGAAAAAAGTTGTCCTGATGTTGACTGTTGTCTCTGTCATTTTCATCGTCTGCCTCATTCCTCAGTCAGCAATCCTAACTGCTGTCAGTCAGTTATCAGAACTGGCTGTCCGTGGTGTTTATTTTGACGTGGCGTTAGTCTGTTACAGCATCTCCTATCTGATGGAGGCCGTGTGTTCTAGCGTCAACATTCTGGTCTACTACAAGATGAGCAGCAGATATAGAAATACAATACATGGCATGTGTATAATAAACGATTCTCATTAACGATTTCCATTAGAACAGGGGTCTCCAAACTACGGCCCACGGGCCTAATTCTCATCTAGCCCGCGGCAATCTTTTTGTCCACGGAATAAATGTTTGTTAGAGGTGGCTGAGGAACTTTGCTCAAAAATTTCAAAACAATTTGAAAATATAGATTTGAGAGCAAATACCGTTGCCCGTCGTTTTGTATACATTGGTGAATACATTGTGACTCAAATAGCGAAAAATGCAAGCAAGTTTCGCCATTTTTTAATTGCAATGAATGAGTCTCGGACAGCTGTTCCACCTCTCACACTTGAAATTTATATATACTACTATACAAACCTTATTTCGGGAGGGGGGTTGCCACCCCAAAGAGATGCCTTGAAGAAACTCTGGCCCCAGAACTGATATTTGATAGTTAATGCGGCTCTTGGGCTGAAAAGTTTGGAGACCACTGCTTAGAATATTATTTTTTCATTGTTTTAATCTTCGATTTCATCTATATTTCATACGTAAACTATATATATCGTTGTTGTTCTGTTGGGGTTTGTTTTTTTTGGACATTAAAAGAGTGTTATGATGTATGTAATAATTTAAACATGTGATTAAAAAAAAAATAAGACTTTGTTCTTTAATATTTACTTCTGATACAGGGTACTCCGAGACACGTGATTAATTCGTTCCGAAACATTGCTCGTATGAAAAATTCCTCGTATCTCTAAGCAATTTGCACCTTAGAAATTAATTGAAAGAAGTTAATCCGTTCCAACCCCCAAAATACAAACCAAGGATTATTGCACATGTAATTTTAATAAAGTACGTGTATTTATTTATAAATGATAAATATTGTTTTATAGAATTCTAAAGAATAATACAAAAAATAGACTGATTTTATTTACTGTACTTACCTTAAACATACGGGAAGGTGTTTCACTTCGTTCATTTCCTTTTTATTAACGGTAAGCTATTTTGGTCAGCTTAATTAACTTACTCGTTTTTCTCTTAACTCTAGAATTTATTCATAAAGTTAACGGAACTTAAACTTCACTGATTATAATTTAATGTAAATTTTAAAATGTAATGTTTTGCTACTTCTGCTTAATTTTCGTCAATGCTCTTCTATCTACTGGAATTTTTCTATTTGTCACCAAACTGTATTCACTTTTCCTACTTTTCCACGCAGGCCAGTAACATTTTTTCACTTTCCGACACGACCTCAGGTTTTTTGTCCAAAAAATAATCCCATGTATGGAAAATGATATAGTAGCTGTCCTAACATCGTATACAAAATTTCATCTCCATAGGTCAAGTATTATGCAAATTATGATATGTGTACACAAATGTACAACATGCCAAAATAGAGTAAAATGTCTGTAACACCATATTTTTAAAATGCAATCCTGAAATGCTATTTATTAATTATTAGCAAGATGCATTTTATTTGAAGAATAAAACAATTCATAAGCAATGTATAATATTATTAAATAAAAGTTGCAAATATTCAAATATTTGCATCAAATTGAGAACAAGTTATTGAACTCCAATTTGAATGTTGGAAATATAAAGAAATTTAATTAAAGCGGGAGAAGTAAAGTAAAGATTCCCTTTCAAACCTGACGGTCTATGGGGCAAGTGAAGTAGAGTTCACTTAAAGCGGGAGTGATGTCCCCTAAAATTTCTCGAATATACTTATATAACACTATGGGATATAAGCATGACATTTAATCTATTTTTTAATTACGTAAACATTTCAAAATAGAATAGAATCTCGAAGAAAAAAGAATTGCGCGACAAATGAACGGCAAACAATCTGTATATAATAGTGAGGAATATGAGTAAAATTTGTAAATTCATATTCGTTTTTTTTTTTGAGAAATCCGAAATAGCGTAAATTAATACTTGCGTTCAATGGACTCAAAATTTAACAGATAGCAGAAAATTAAATACTTTACTTATATGTAAAATTTCTTTCATATATCTTAAACAGTACTCAAGTTATACTCTTTTGAAAAACCAAAAAGTAGAATAAGTTCAACTTGCTGTTACCGGAAATCGCTTATTTTATATATATAATTTGTATATGAAATTTCATCAACATAGCTGTAACAGTACTCAAGTTATCGTTTTCACTTCTGTTAGATGCAGGATAACTCAGTTTTAAAACAAATTTTTAATGACTAAATTATACACGTTTTTGTTCAAATAGTGCTTGTAGAACAGTTCTTGTTAGTGTGCCTGCTTTTGACTGCCAATGATATTTATCAAACAATCATTTTTTCTAAATAATCATAACAAGTTATTTTTCTACAAACATTTATTTCTAAAAATAAAAAAAAATACGATTCCTCTTATAATTTCTTTTACTGAATTCTGACATAAATTAATGAGTGATTTAATAACTTTATTTTTTTTAAATCTGTTCATTATATAATATCTGTTTAAGAAAAAAAATAAAAATCTGATTAATTTTAACATCTTAGCAGCTATTTTATCACCAGACAAACTACTTATTTTCATGAATAATTTACCGAATCTAATGAATATAGCGTTTATAGATTCATCATGTATTACTCTTGACACCACACTAAGACACTGCAGCTACAAATCTAACATGGGTTTTAGATTGTATTCTACTATTTTATTGGTGTTTCACCTTTGATTTTTTTGATATTGTCTGTTTCTTTCTGAATATTATAACCTTTAGAAATAAAGAAAAACACAAATACCATGTTGTTCAACTATTAAATTAAAACGTTCTAAATATTAATTAAAGTTATGCAGTTTTTTTTAAGTTTTAAATTCACGAGTTATAAAAAAAAATATTATCTAGAAAACACAATTACATTTATTGATTTGGTTTTTGTGTAGTTTTTATTTTACTTTTTGGAAATTATAATTCCTACGAAAACATCTCTAAACTGTAGTTTGGTAAAATCAACTATGTGCAGAATGGAAATTACAGTTAAAAAGTTCAAGCAACCTGAAATTTTGTTAGATTAAAGCATTATTTTAAAACGTTAAAGACTGCCTCATTTTAATCTGGATAGTCACTTTTCTTATCCCATAGACGGTAAATACATGGCTATCAAATTTAATAACCGCAACTAAATTTGTTGCTTGTTTAATTACTAGTGTAGTGTTAACTCTCTATAATTAAAGATTTTCAAGGAATTAAGACTCTACAAAGAGTTTACTCCCTTTAAATAATACAATGAGCTGTTGTCGTATTGTTTTCTCACGATGTCTTCAGAGAGCATAATACAGCAAGGATATGATAACGGATCAGCTACAACTGTCTCAGGGAATGTGACATCAACAAACACAGCTGGTGCTTCAGTGTATATCAGTCCAATAGTTCTCGATTTCTTCTTGACCTTTAACCTATTGATATGCGGGAACATCGTGGGGTTATTGGGAATCTCAGGAAACATCATCAACATCATCGTCTTTTACAAGCAGGGCTATGAGGACAGCGTCAATATAACTTTAACTGCTCTGGCTGTCAGTGATATCGGGGCGTTGGTGTTTGTGTTGATGGTCATTGTCATGATTAATCCGTGGTTTCTAAACGTCGATGTTTCTATTGTTCATATAGACGTTGCAACGATGCTGGCCTTTTACCCACACAATTATTTCATCCGTGTGTGTGGGTTCATCACGGCCTTCGCGTCGTGTGAGAGATGTCTGTGTGTTTTGGTGCCCCTTAAAGTCAAACAAATTGTCACCAAAAGATTTTCTCTTCTAGTCAACGTGTTTATTTTTATTGTTATGCTATTGGATTTATTCCCTGTGTATTACGTTGTTTATCTAGATTGGACATTTATTCCTAATCAAAATAAGTCACTTATTGCGTCTAACTATCGACAAAATCCGTTTGCTATATTAAGATATACATATTTCGTTACAGAAATTTTTGTTCCATATTTTACGTTTTTTGTTATTATTTTATCCAATGTTATTATTGGGTTAAAGTTGAACGCACGGTCCCAATGGTTGAATTCTGTGTCTCACACGAATAACAAAAAAGACAACGCCGTGTCGAATAGAGAGAAACGTGTTGTTCTAATGTTGATCGTCGTCTCTGTTATTTTCATCGTCTGCCTCATTCCTCAGTCAGCAATACTGACAGCACTCATCCAGGTACAGGATCTGGGTAGTGGGGGTCGGTATTTTGACGTGTCTATGTTGTGTTACAGTATCTCTTACCTGATGGAGGCCGTGTGCTCTAGCGTCAACATCCTGGTCTACTACAAGATGAGCAGTAAATACAGGAAGACACTGTGTAGGTTTTTTAAATGCTATTACTAAAATGATAAAAATTTGAAGGAGATATTTTTTTTTCAACTCTTGATTTATCTTTTGTATTTGCCTATTGTATTTCATATATAAAGTTATAATTTTCAAATTGATTTAATGATTGGTTGTAAAAAAAAAAATAAGATCCCTTTTCAAACCTGACGGTCTATGGGGCAAGTGAAATAGAGTTCACTTGTTTCTGTGACCTCGGCATATTACTTATGTAACAAGTTTACCGTTTGTAATAACACAAGTTTTTTTTAGTTTAACTAAGAGTTTTTTTAGTGAAGAAATGTATAACTATTCTAGTATCGTGATATTGTCTATAAAAATTGTACTCTTCTAGAATTTAAAAAACAACATTCTATTAACTACAATCTAACTGAGTATGAAAAAAATGTAATTTAATGATACACAACAGTTTTTATATTAGTGTTAAATATTGCTTGCTTGTTCAGTAATATGATTAAAAATTTGTTTTAAAAAATAGTTACCAATTTGGTATTTTTATTTTGGACGAGATTGTGAAAATATACATATTTATCTTCTTTTCTATTTCTAAAAATTTGTGGCTCAATTATATAACAATATTTAAAAACCTAGTAACTTGATCTGTCATAGGGGAAGTGAGACATTGCTGACTGACAGCCACTTCTTCGTTTTATTTATTGAAATCAGTTTTTCCTATTCATTACAAAATTAGCTGTATGATACACCACAGGCCTGACCATGGAGATCACATTTAGATCAGTTTAAACATTTTTATAACATTTGCCTGACAAATGTCCATCTCTGAGGTTAGAAAAACTAATTCTATTTATCTTCCTTAGAATCTTATCAGGGCGAATGGCCGTGTGTAATAAAATCGACTATTAAAGAAAAATATGATTTAAAAACCAGAAACACGGGCAATTACATAATTACGATTTGCACCCCCCCCTCCCTCAAACTTTCGATTTGCACATCCCCCCCCCCGTCGAGATTTCCATTTGCAAACTTTCGATTTGCACCCCCTCAACCTTTCAATTTATTTTTCCAACCCATTTTGGCGACCCCTTAGGTCGGCGCCCGGTGACATATGCCCCCCCCCCCCTCGCTACGCTACTGTAACTGAGTTGCTTGTTCCACTAAATTATCTTGAGAATTCTATAAACTTTTAAGACATTTAAAGAAAAATATATTATTCTTCTTCTGAGAAATCGGCAACGCATGACAGGTACGCTTGTCTGACATTTGGTACAAATAAAACTAACAGATTAATTCAGATAAATGGTAGGTAATAGGTATCTACAATTTTTCTGAAGTGTTCTGTTAGGTAACAGAATCACGCCATTGACCGTCTGATTAAGCTATCCCTGCATGTACACAAGTTTAGTAAACTGTTGTTATTATTCCATGTAAAATATTTCTTATACTGTATTGCTTGATTATTTCAAACGTCAAGAAAATTATGTAATTGTACAATTAAAACTTTCTTTATTAAAACATTCATCGCACAAGTCCTGTGTAACAATAATAATGCATACAAGTTCTGTAGCTCATTTTCGTTACAGAAATATTTAAAATATTCAATCGAATCACGGTCATGAATGGAAAGGGGCGAGAAGGTACAGGCGGCATGGGATGGGGCACTTCAAAGAACGGGCAGGGCAGACTGAGGCATTGTTATATAAAATACAGTAAAATTGCCGAGGACATAAAAATGTGACACAATTGTATCTTAAAATCCTTTGTGTTGGCCGAAGGATCACCATTCATTTCCTTGGGGCTACAAAATAAATGAATTATTTATTGACTCTGATATAAACTGCGAGAGTACGAGAGCGTTTGGTTAAATAAAGGGATTATAATTCCAAGGAACTGTTGCATTTTATATTTTATTTCTTATTATAAATATAAACTGCCACAACAAAAGTGTTATCCAAACTTAAATAGTTACACACTTGCAATTTCTATCCTTCTTTTATACAGGCCCCAACAAATGTATGTGTGTTAGCTTTAAGCTGGAAAAAAATATTTGAACCCGTTCACTATAACGTTACCGCCATAAATTGATTCTTAAATAATTAAAATAAATCCTGGATCGACGGTTTCTTCATAATCCCACCCTTGTTTTTACCCTGAAAAATAAGCACGAATGTTTTATGATATTTAAAAGATTCTTCTATTCTTGAGATATCACTCTTTTTTTTTAATATTGTATGATGAGTTACTAAAAGTTATAACGTGAACAACAAAGAAAATAAACACAGGCGTAAAAAATCCATGTGTCTAATGTATTGTGCGGAAAGAATAAAAACAATGTCTACATTATTTGAACTTAATTTAAAAGATAAAGGATAATCGGAGATGAGAAAAGGGGTGATATTTTAATTGAATTAATCGAAGTGTGAGTAAAGCAGACATTATACATTATAACGCTACGTGTTAATCAAAATAATTGGTCTCTGTTCAAATATTTTGTTCGTGTTAATTAAAAAAGTCAACAACAAGGTTGAAATACTACCTAGTTTATTAGGTGTTGTAAGAATTAAAAATAATTACTAATATTGAATTAAAAACTTTCCTTTATTTCAATTTTATTTCAATTTTAATGATGTACATTCCTTCTGATATTAAAATTTGTTGTTCGCAAATGTGAATCTAAGTAATTAGGAACTATATCTTCAGTATAACAATATAATTAATATACCACAACGTTATATATTTACTGCGGTATCAATGTATATTTTTGTGCGTTCTCAGAACATGTTAGAAATTTAGAACTTTTAATTAGATTTAAAGTTTTGTGTATGTTATTTTCTTATTAAAATCGTAAGCACTAGTGTATTTAAGAGAGCTTTTAATAGCTATGGTTGAGCATAGTTTCAACATGCAGGGCATTCAAAACGTGACTACAATGTCAGAAGAGGTAACCACAGCAGCACAAGTAAGTGCGTCAGTCAATATCAGTCCTATAGTTCTGGACTTTTTCTTGACTTTCAACATGTTGGTCTGTGGAAACATCATTGCTCTATTGGGAATCTCGGGAAATATTATCAACATCATCGTCTTCAACAAGCAGGGCTATGAGGACAGCGTCAATATAACTTTAACTGCTTTGGCTGTCAGTGATATCGGGGCGTTGATAACTTTAATAATATTTAACGTTATGATCAATCCTGCATTTGAAAAGGCGAATTTGCCGCTTATTCCAATAGATGTATCTTCGATGATTGGTTTTTACCCACACAATTATTTCATCCGTGTGTGTGGGTTGATTACAGCCTTCGCGTCGTGTGAGAGATGTCTGTGTGTTTTGGTGCCCCTTAAAGTCAAACAAATTGTCACCAAAAGATTTTCTTTTCTCGTCAACGTGTTTATATTTATCATCATGCTATTGGATATGTTACCTGTGTATTACGTTGTTTATCTCGATTGGATGTTTGTTCCATGGTTGAATAAAACAGTAATCGCGGCCTCCTTTCGAGAAGACCTGTATAATGTTTTCGGTATTTCCTATTTTGTTACAGATCTTTTTGTTCCGTATTTTACATTTTTCGTGATCATTTTTTGCAACGTAACAATCTGCATCAAACTTAATTCGAGATCAAAATGGATTGAATCAGTTTCTCAGAAAAAAGAAACCAAGAACACATATTTATCCAACAAAGAGAAAAAAGTTGTCCTGATGTTGACTGTCGTCTCAGTTATATTCATCGTCTGTCTCATTCCTCAATCAGCAATTCTGACAGCTGTCAGTCAGGTCCCTGGGCTTGCCGTCCGTGGTGTTTATTTCGACGTGGCGTTATTGTGTTACAGCATCTCCTACCTGATGGAGGCCGTGTGTTCTAGCGTCAACATCCTGGTCTACTACAAGATGAGCAGCAGGTATAGAAAATCACTACAGAGCATTTGGTTTAAAAGTGATGCCTCATAGTGCAGTCCATTTTTATGGTGTTATAACGCATCTTCTGGGATTAAATGCATGCAAACAGACATCCGCCCACGAGTCCAGCCGAAGGGTGTGACTGAGACCTTTACTTATCAGGGGCCCTAAATGAATACGATGAAGGGAAGCAGAGGAAATGCATTTAAGGTTGTTTTAAGTTTTCAGAAAATAATCAATTTTCAACATTAAATTATTTAATGTTTTCTTTGTTCTGGAAATTTAAATAGCATTTAATGTTTGATGCAATATCAGTTACAATAAAATTAGAATAATAAAGAACAATAAAATTCGCAAAAAAAAAAGAAGTGATATTTTTTTAAACATACAAATGCTTTTTTAAATTGTATTTATCCTTTATGTTCACTTTTTAAATAAATTAACAATATTCAATTCACAATTCAAAGTTCGGTCAATCCAGGTCTGGATTAACGGATGATTTTCCCTTTGCCCGTGTCGCCATAGGCTAATACCTACTTAGCCCTTATTTTACATTAAGCCCTTGTTATACTGTTGTGAGATATGAATCTTGTATTGTCAGGTATTTTGGTTACTGAGTCACCTGTCCCATTTTATCAAACTCCTTTGGGCTATATGTGTATGCTGTCATCTAGTTATAGACCATTGATATTTCAGAAAAAAATTATTTGAAGTCGTCTATATTTTACTAATTAATGAAAAGTATAGCCAAAATTCAATTTACTCTATTGAAAACAGTTTTATGGTTCATTTTATTGCTGATCCATGAACGTCAGTTCACTATTTGATCAAGCGTCCATTTGGGCATTTGTTTTATTTGGAGAGATGTGTATTATGGTCTTCTAGCGAATGGCATTCGGGCAAGTCTCTTTCGAGGTTTTGGCAAAGTATGTAATTATGATGAAACTTATGTATTTTAAATTGAGAAGCACAATTGATAACATCAACATGCTAGGTATCGCCTTCTTTTTCAAATTATCTTTTCTGTTTTTCTATTCTTGAGATGTGTACTTAAGGACACATTTTTATTCTACATTTTTATCAGAAAATAAAGAGGTTTTAGTACTTACTATGTAAACTTGTAAGTATACAATTAAAACTACGACATCATGCTCGAAAAACTAAAATATAAAATAAAAAGAGTTGTCAGCCTTTTTGTGGGGCTGTCAATTTTTTTTCGATAGAACTAGCTTCTCTATCAGTAACATTTATTTGGCAACATTAACTATAGAAGGTATAAGTAGCATGTAGTAATAGAATATTACACTGGTAAAATATATACTGCCCGTGAAAACTACTGTCGCTGCTGCCTACTACATTTTTGATGTCCTCAATTACAGGTCTGTGGTAGCATGTCGTCTAAATGAGACGTTGCCGACTGATTTCTCGGATTATTATTTTTAGTAAAGTTCCCTTTTTCGAAACTAAAATCTTTATGGCAAGTGGAGTAAAGTTTACCTGTATCTGTGACTTTGGCATTGAATGAATACTGTTGTCAGCACTATGCCCAGCCGCCTTTACTTTTCCTAACATGAGTTAGGTACCCATCAGAGTTGGATAGACTCAGGGACGATCTACCAACTTGAACCCGGATTCAAACTCAAGACCGTGGGGTTAGTATTCAAGCGTTCAACTTCTAGGCCACGCCGTCCTCTTATTTGTTTTAGCTTTGCCGTTTTTCCTATATACCGAGCTCATATGTTTATTTTATTCTCGCGACTGAAGCTCTATAAACACATTTTGGAATTGATAAAAGTCTAGTCCAATTGTCGATGTAGGTTATACTTAACGCTTTGATAGCTTTTTATAACTTAAACGAAATTCTGACCACGAATACAGTTCCCTTCTCAAATGTATCGCGACTTGTCTCTCTGTTCCAAAGAAATAACACTAGACTTTATTAAGCTTAATTAAGCAGACAGCTAAAATGATTTTTTTACTTGCTCTTATAGGTGGCGAATTGGGTGTGTTGTATTCCTGCAAAAAATCTAAAAGAGATTTTGACTCATCTGGATATTTTACACATGAGTAGGAAAATGTTTAGCAATGTGTCTGTTTGTCTGTATGTAAACACGATTATTTGAGTACCTATTAAATTAGGTTGACGAAACTTCATATATAATTATTTTATTCAGTTTGTAATTATGTTAACTAATGACCGATTAACAATTACGAATTTGTAATTACTTTCGGTTTCTCGAAATCCAATACTTTGAGTACGATTTAAGTTACGTGGATGACAAATTCCACACGAAAAAAATGTCTTGTATTCACGTTTGTCTATAAACTTTTAAACGTTTTTCGACAACCGCAAGGATTACATTTCTTTGGTTTCATCTGAAAATGATAACTTCAGAAAAGTTACAATTAGGAAGATGAACTAAATTTCATATCAAAGTAAAGATCTAATATGTAATTACTAATAATTTTTGAGTGAACTCCAATATAAGTAAGTGGTAATTCACACTTTTTCTAGCTTCTAAAATACCGATAACGTGAGCACCGATTCGGTTAGGTGGACGAATGTTGACATTGTGTATTAGCTACTGATCATAGAATAATTGTATAAACTTTCGGACGGCTTTTGGTAACTGAGAGGTTTTTTTTATTGCATTTATTTCTCTAAAACGAAAAAAAATATCAACATAAAACATAACATTTAAATTCGTGTAAAAGCCTTTCTTCAAGAAAATAAAAGACAAAAAGTTTTCTGCTTCGGCTGGATCCGCCTTCTGTAAGCTTGCCGTCAACAACGACACGGACATCAATTTCAGAATCATTTTTACCAGTATTGACTAGAACAACAACACGAATTTAGAATTTAGTTTAAAACTGTGGGGTTTAAAATAGACCCTGAATAGACACTTAATTTAAATGCAAAAATTATTTTATTACTGAATTAAGAAAAATATAAGTGCTATATGTTGAGTTATGTTTTAGTAGAAGCAAACTCTGTTTATTATAATATAGTATACACAGCTATGTTAATGTACACATTTAACTTGTAAAATTGAAATTTCGGTACCACAATTATTAAAGGCTAAATTTATTTAAGCGGGTTATATTTTTTTAATATTAATGGATATTCATAGTATCAGCGTCTATGTGTTAACTAGCCATCGGTACCCGTTACACGTGAATTATAGGCCTATATATTTTTAATATTCTTTCAAAAAATTTTATCCTAAATTAGCCAATTCTATAGCTAAACAAACAAATATTTCTATAAAATAATTAAGGCCTGAATTGTTTAATACAGACATTTATTATTGGAATAGATTCTAGAGTAGATACAGTCTAAATCTAGATCTAGAATCTAGATCTAGCGTCTGCGTCTAGGTTTTGCGTAGATCTAGATCTAGAATCTAGATCTAGTCTAGATCTAAATTCTAGATCTAGAATCAAAATAGATAAATTAAATGTTATAAGTTTAGGCCGAGAACATTGTATTGTATAGATCTAGATTTCATAGAGTACGTAGACCCAGTTCTAAATCAAAGTTGAATGAAATGGTTCCTTTCTTTATATTCTAAAATCGGAAGATGACGTCATTAGTTCCGTGCTCTTTCTCTAGTATAAACATTAAGTGACGTCATTATTAAATGCGTTCTTGTCCCAACATTTTTTCCGGTTGCATAATTAAAATTGTTTTTCTACATTTGAATATGCCTTTATTTTTTATTTTTCTTCTTTAAGTAAAATTGTGTTTATACATTTAAAACATCTACCATATTATTTTCAACCTAAGTCCGTATCAAGTTCTTCATAAATTGCTGCAGATTATGATGTGATATCCGGCGAAAATATTTTGCGGACAGAGAGAGAGAAGTGCGCACAGGGACTTTTATATATTAGGATTGTAAAAAAATGTTCTAATTGATATGTTTTAATCAGAGGCGTAGCCAGGATCGTCTCAAGGGGGGGGGGGGGTTCCAATTTTTACCCGGGGACAAACTTTCGATTTGCACCCCCCCCCCCCTCAATTTTTTTATTAGCACCTCCCCATCCAAACTTTCGATTTGCACCCCCCCCCCCTCCAAACTTTCGATTTGCACCCCCCCCCCCCCTCAAACTTTCGATTTGCACTCTTCCCTCATACTTTATATATATATCCAAGGGGTCTATGGGGGGGGGGTTATGACCCGCCCCTAACCCTTCCCCCCTGCCTACGCCACTGATTTTAATACATCTGAGATAACAACTCCGATATTTTTAAAAATTTAGCACTCGAAAGGCTAAGGCAAATAATATATTTTCACCATGATACCTACTATTCTAGATTGCTCCCCTTTGTCCATTGTTTACACCAAGGGTCTCCAAACTTTTCAGCCCGAGGGCCGCATTAACTATCAAATATCAGTTCGTGTGCCGGAGTTTCTTCAAGGCATCTCTTCGGTGTTATGGAGCCTCCCTCCCCCCCCCCCCCGAATAACGTCTACCACCTTCCCTCCCCCCTAACAAAATGTAATTCATTAATACTAATAGTTTCGCTGTCTGTGTATCTGACAAGAACGCTCTAGAGAAAACACGAGAAAAATGGCCCGTTGAGGAAGGGTACAACGGGCGCTAGGCTGATAGTGCTGTCTCTTTTCTCTAAACTAAAACCAACCCACCCTTGTCAGATAGATAGATACACAGACAGCGAAACTATTAGTATTAATGACAAGAACGCTCTAGAGAAAACACGAGAAAAATGGCCCGTTGAGGAAGGGTACAACGGGCGCTAGGATGATAGTGCTGTCTCTTTTCTCTAAACTAAAACCAACCCACCCTTGTCAGATAGATAGATACACAGACAGCGAAACTATTAGTATTAATGACAAGAACGCTCTATCTGTCAAGAACGCTCTAAAGAAAACACAAGCAAATTAAAAACCTGCATAGTAATTCGAAAAACGAAGTATGACGTCGCCACATTTAGCACAGAGTAGAAAATAATCTCAAGCTGGAGAGTGCACACAGTAATATGACGTCATTGATTCTCGAGTAAACATTGAATAAAAAGGCAATTTTGTCTAATCTAAGTGGTTTGCGTGAAGAGTTTCTTTCATACAATTCTTCGGGTAGGGGCGAAGCCCCACCCAAGCGTAAGAACGTCTGAGCCCCCCCCCCCTCCCTAACTCAAAAGAAATTTCTTCATCGATACTCTATAATAAAATTACCGCCTAATTAATGTGTCTAATCTAAAAAGTGGTTTTCTTGCAATTTCTTTAATGCAATTCTTCGCGTAGTGGCTAAGCGCGCCACCAGTGTTTCTTTCAGACTTTTTCCTCTCTTCCGGTAGGGGCGAAGCCCCGCCCAGATTCTTCCTTTAGTTTGTATGTTACACAAATGCGACCAGTGTTTCTTTCAGACTTTTTCCTACCCGGAGAGGGGTGGGGGGTACTTGAAATTTTCGGGGGCGGGGTAGAATTTTCGGGGAGGGGGCGGACACTGGAAAAAGTATATAATTATATTTCGTTGAATGGGACGGTAGACATGTTTTTTTGGGGGGTGGGGGTGGGGTGTGGGGGGTGGTGTGTGTTGGGGGATGGGGATGTGGGTGGTGGTGTGTGGGGGGGGGTGGGTTGGTTTTAGTTTAGAGAAAAGAGACAGCACTATCAGCCTAGCGCCCGTTGTATCCTTCCTCAACGGGCCATTTTTCTCGTATTAAAATATATACACATTTCAAGTTCCTCGCCCCGAGAAAAAAAATCTGAAAGAAATACTTTCGTGGGTTGACAACACTTGAAGTCCAAATTTGCTCTCAAATTATTCTTCACGTATTTCATTCTTGAAATTTTTTGTTAACACAGGTATGTTGTCCCAAAATGTGAATGTTACTTTGATGCAAAAGTTTTAATATTAGAAAAGTCTTCCTTGTGCAAAAACTTATGAAAAAATACCCGCCCTTCTGTGACTGTGTATCTAATGACCTCCATCAGCAGTTCATCTTTGCAACTGGCCACATTTGCTTTAAATGGGTTTTTGAAACAGTCTCACTTCTTCTGCCTTTGAATCCAAGTCAGAAAACCGCTACTGAAACTGTAGCTTGAGCTCTTTGATGTGTCGCATGCAAATGACGTGGGGAACTCTGGTTGCTTCATTCGTAAAGAACTTGCACTAAGAGTGTGCCAAGTTGTTGGCTTGTACGTGTTACAAATACATGACACAAGTTTGGACCTGAAGGCCTTTAGGTGGATGTATAGATCAGAAACTAGACTTCCCTCTCTCGCTGTTTTAGCTTCAAAAAATTTAAATGACTATTTATGTATAAAGGAGAGGCCAATTTCTATACTCACTCTTCATCAGACATTAATGGCTTTGGCTTGCCTTTTTTTCCAGTAAGTCAACTATTTCCTTTCTTAACATAAATACTCTGCTCAGAACTTCCTCACAACCTAGCCATCTTCTGTGTAATATGGTAAATCTTGCGATTCTGTGTTTGTATCGTTCAACATGTCTCTGAAATATCTATTCTCGAGCCATATTATTCAGTACACTGCTAATATCCATATATTTAGCACACAAAGGGTACGCAATGACCTAGCGGTAGAGAGTTAGACTGCTAACCCATAAGTCTCAAGTTCAGTCAACCCAGCCCTGATATGTACCTAACCAAAATAAAGGCGGCTGGGCACGTGACGAGGTCACATAAACAGGTGAACTCTACTTCACTTGCCTTATATACTGTCAGGGTTGGAGGTGGGAGCTTTACTTTTACTTTTAATATAATTAAAAGAGAATATAATTTTTTCAAATGAAACGATTTTTTTAATAAGATAGGAGTTTGTTTCTTAATGTATAAAACCAATGTAATTTGAAAGATATAAAAACACGCGATAGAATATTATCTGAATGGATTGTTCATGTTGCTAACAAAATATGGTGAAATAAGCTCACGAACGTAATAAATTATAATCACACCAACCACAAGTTAAATATAGAATTAATCAGTTGTACAGTCAACTCTATTTACTCCATCCATTCTTTCTAGCAACGCGTCATCTTTAATGTGCAATTATAAGTATCATAGGTAAAAATCAATCTCGTTATGTTTACTACATACACTAACTACTATACTTATTTCTAAAATAATTTCCCCATTAAGCGCACAAAGAAAAAAAAATTAATATACTATAATGAAAGTAGAAAATGTAGATCTTGGATGTAAACACAATTTTTTATTTTATTTTATGACTAAGCAGGATAGTATTTTAATTATAATTATAACTTCTGTATGGTAGCTAATTGTTTATTTAAAAATTAAACCTCGTTATGACATTACCTCTAAACAAATTTAACGTCTGTGTCTTTGTCAACATTTTAAATAAATAGACAGTGTCTATAATTTGAAAAAAATACATATACAATTAACGCGGGAAACTTTTAATTAAACATAGGTCTTAGTGCTATTTCTTTCACAAGTTTCTTTATAAACGTTTGTGTTTTGAAAGTTTATTTGTATTATACGTTTGACCACATATTTTACATTAAACATCTAACTGATACATATTTCGTAATACTGTTTCTTTCCAAGTCTAAAAACTAAATATGAAATTCTAGCAGATCATCGATGGAGAATCTTTATTTCATGATGAGGTTATAAAATTTTAAGCCAAACTGTACTATATATAAATTGTGTTGTGCTGTTGATAATTAGATAATGCCTACTGAAAACTTCATAGAGCAGCTAAACCAAACGCTAACTATATCGATGTATTCAGTTAATGATACAACTACAGCACTAGTAGGTGTATCAGTCTACGTCAGCCCTATAGTACTGGACTTTTTCCTGACCTTTAACCTTTTGATCTGTGGGAACATCATCGGAATTTTGGGAATCTCCGGAAACATCATCAACATCATCGTCTTTTGCAAGCAGGGCTATGAGGACAGCGTCAATATAACTTTAACTGCTCTGGCTGTCAGTGATATCGGGGCGTTGGTCACTGTGTTGATGGTCAATGTCATGGTCAACCCGTGGTTTACGAAGGCGAGTTTACCAATCGTGGCAATAGACTTCGCTTCGCTGTTGGGGTTTTACCCACACAATTATTTCATCCGTGTGTGTGGGTTGATCACAGCCTTCGCGTCGTGTGAGAGATGTCTGTGTGTTTTGGTGCCCCTTAAAGTCAAACAAATTGTCACCAAAAGATTTTCAGTTACTGTCAACGTGCTTATATTTATCATCATGCTATTGGATCTGTTTCCTATTTATTACGTTGTTTATCTAGATTGGATGTTTGTTCCAGGGTTGAATAAGACGATTATTGCTGCATCAGTTCGAGAAAATCCGTACAATATTTTTGGTATTTCCTATTTTGTGACGGATCTTTTCCTTCCGTATTTTACTTTTTTTGTGATAATTTTTAATAACATCACCATCGGCCTAAAACTTAATTCAAGATCAAAATGGATACAATCGGTCTCTCAGAAACCTTCAAACAAAGAGAAGTTCGTGTCTAACAAAGAGAAAAAAGTTGTCCTGATGTTGACTGTCGTCTCTGTCATCTTCATCGTCTGCCTCATTCCTCAGTCAGCAATCCTGACAGCTGTCAGTCAGGTGTCAGGGTTGATGCACGGAGGAAATTACTTTGACGTGTCGTTGTTGTGCTACAGTATCTCATACCTGATGGAGGCCGTGTGTTCTAGCGTCAACATCCTGGTCTACTACAAGATGAGCAGTAAATACAGGAAGGTGCTTCAGAGTATTTGTATTACTCACTAAATTTACCAACAAGCGTTAGTTCTCATGTGTTAGTCGCTTTATGTCACTTTGTGGATATTTAGAATTGGATTATCGATTTAAATTTTCGTTTACTGTCTTGGATGGAAACATTACATGCCTATATGTTACTTGTTAAAATAATGTTTCAAGTTTATTTTGCTTTAACAAAACACAAGTGCTGTTTAAACATATGATATTGTGTACCATTTATATTACAATATAACCAAAACACAAAATTATTTCATTATGAAATATGCAAACATGATATTTTTTACAACAGTATCGAAAAATGTAACTTGTGTCTATTGCCCAAAAAAAAAAACAATACATGACAAATAATTATACTGTTTTAACATAAAGTCATTTGTAAACTTAACAAATTCTCAAGCCAAGTAGTTTAAAAAAACCCAATAACAATCCATCTGATTTTTAAATTGTGAATAATGGATACAATGCTATTGAAAATTTGTTACTGAAGACAATACCGATGACAATAATCTTACGTGAAGAGGTAGAAGGTGAAGGACGAAAAACAAGTCACTGGGTATAATATTTTTTCAACTGAATTTTATTATCAATACTTTTCTGTGTTGCAATACTTTTTATCACAACCAAAGAAGCTTAAAAGCCAAAATGACTCGGTACTTGAGATTGTATTGGTATTGTGTCATAAAATCGATAGTATAATATAAAATATTAAAAGCATAATCTGTTACGAAGAACAAATTGAAGAATGTGTTGTATTATTGTTCGTTTATGAAGCGGTGAGTTCTGTTTTAGTAGGGAAACATGTTGAAAAAGCACTTTTGTAGGTTTTAATACTGAAACCAAGGAAACCACATGCTTGTGACGTAGGTATTCAATTAGTGCAGAGCTAATTACAGACATGTTTCAAATGTGGTGAATGGGGTGGTAAATCCACAGACTTTGATAAAGTAGTGTGTAAAAAAAAAATAAAGAATCCACTTTAGGCCTAGCGCTCCATTGGGCAGATGAAATAAAGTTCATACGTTTTTTTACCTCGGCATATGAAGTAAAAATGTGATCAGTACTTTACCCAGCCGCCTTTATTTTCCCTAACATGAGTTAGGTACCCAACAGAGCTTGGTGGACTCGAGAAGTTCTACTGACCTAAACCCTGATTCGAACTGGAGACTTTCAGGTTAGCAGCCTAGTGCTCTACCGCTTAGAAGCTTAGAACACAAGTAGGTTGAACCAACCACACCCAGATATGTCTATAGGGGAGGAGTCGATGTTCTCGCAGTTTAACCAGGGCTGATCAGAAGTCGATGTTCTCACATGATGTCCTAACCAGGGGTTGACCAGAAGTCGATGTCCTCACAGTTTAACCAGGGGTTGACCAGAAGTCGATGTTCTCACAGTTTAACCAGGGGTTGACCAGAAGTCGATGTCCTGACAGTTTAACCAGGTGTTGACCAGAAGTCGATGTCCTCACAGTTTAACCAGGGGTTGACCAGAAGTCGATGTCCTCACAGTTTAACCAGGGGTTGACCAGAAGTCGATGTCCTCACCGTTTAACCAGGGGTTGACCAGAAGTCGATGTCCTCACAGTTTAACCAGGGGTTGACCAGAAGTCGATGTCCTCACAGTTTAACCAGGGGTTGACCAGAAGTCGATGTCCTCACAGTTTAACCCGGGGTTGACCAGAAGTCGATGTCCTCACAGTTTAACCAGGGGTTGACCAGAAGTCGATGTCCTCACCGTTTAACCAGGGGTTGACCAGAAGTCTATGTCCTCACCGTTTAACCAGGGGTTGACCAGAAGTCGATGTCCTCACAGTTTAACCAGAGGTTGACCAGAAGTCGATGTCCTCACAGTTTAACCAGGGGTTGACCAGAAGTCGATGACCTCACAGTTTAACCAGGGGTTGACCAGAAGTAGATGTCCTCACAGTTTAACCAGGGGTTGACCAGAAGTCGATGTCCTCACAGTTTAACCAGGGGTTGACCAGAAGTCGATGACCTCACAGTTTAACCAGGGGTTGACCAGAAGTCGATGTCCTCACAGTTTAACCAGGGGTTGACCAGAAGTAGATGTCCTCACAGTTTAACCAGGGGTTGACCAGGACGTTGAAGACTTGGAGACTGACCAGCGCCCGAGGTCACTGACCGCTAGAGCTACCAAGGTTATGTTGACCGTGTCCTTGAACCCCTGCCTGACAAACACCACGACGTTGAGCACGTTACCAGCGATACCCAGGATAGAGATGACCTAACCAAAGGTGACCTTGATGAAGAACTAGTGCGAGTATAAGATGAGTGGAGGTCATGGTCAAATATTCTAATTTTAATTAGGATAGTTTTAGCATTTGTTAGCTTGTTATTTAAGACATCTAAGTAAACAATTTTTGTCTATATCAATACGTTCCTCGTATGTGGTTAAACGTAACTGTTATATAACGACAAAACATGCAATTCTCTGTAATGTTCTCCTAAACTTTAACAATAAACACATACTCATATACAACAGAAGAAATTCGTCTAATTAAATGCATGTATTTTGTAAACACTTGTAGCGATTTTTCCGATAGGATTTGCTTTGTGTTTTACTTGGTTATTCGAGGTAGAATTTTTTAAGTGGAGATAACTATGCAAATGTATTTATTAAATCATAGATAATGAATTGCTGCCCTTTGTTTTGGTAAAACAATATTAGTTGAGATTAAGTATTGCAAGTAGGCCTAGTTAACATAGGTTGTTTTTTTTCCAGACATCTCTTTGGGTCACGCACGTCTATCGCCCCCCCCCCCCCTCCCTCCCCCGAAATAAAAAACGGGGCAAAATAGAAAAACTATAGTATAAAGATGAATTATCAGCAGTTGGTGTTGGGTTAGCCAATAGTTGGTGTCGGGTTAGTCTGAGTTAGTGCGGGGTTAGCATGCAATTAATATATGTGTAGCCACTAGCTAGTGTAGGATTAACCAAACGATGGAGCAGTTTTTACCAACAGATAACACACTTTTAAAAATGTCTTGACTTTGTTTTGTACTAGGTTAATTACAGAGGCGACTCGAGGCTGGAGCCCGGGGGAAGGGGTGCTGCGGACCGCACCGGGGGTCACCATTTAAGGGGGGGGGGTGAAACCAAGACAAAAATTATTTTAAAATATATAGAAGAAAAAATGTTTTTTGTCAGTTTAGGTAATGATCAATAAAAGTATAAAAGTCATTTAAGTACAAGTTAACGATTCTGAAAATATGGAATGGAGGGTGGGGGGGGGGGGGTGGACAGCATGAGTTGCCGCTCCGGATGACACCCGACGTAGCGACGCCACTGGTCGATTATGACATTCAGTTGCAATTTCCCTAACGTTATGAAGTTAATTTTGAAAGTTGGTGCTGTAAATAGTGCCATGACCATTTAACAGCTAGTTCTTTCAGTCTATGCTCTTGTTTTGTTAAATGGTTGCTATGAGAAACATCCTTTCATTTTGTTGATATGTTTTTACCTAGACTTGTTCATTAATTTGTTTATTGCGGAGCGTATCTATGTAAAAAACGTGTGTCTTTTTAGTCAACTTCCGGTTGAATATAAACACATTATTTGTGAACCCTTTTTAAAATGTCTAGCAACGCTTAAGTGAACTTCGTAATCAGTGGTAATATGAAGGTATTATTTGTGAGGCCGTTTGAAAATATCAAACAATGTGTACCTGAACTTAGTACTCATGCGGTAATACACGATCAGGTTTATGCTCGAACTGACCGATTCAAACAGGTAGGCGATAGAATAACAGACCAACGCCACGTCAAAATTACGGCCCCGTACACCCAACTCATCCACCAGCCCCACGGCCGTCAAGATGGCCGACTGCGGCATGAGGCAGACGGTGAAGATGACGGACACGACCACCAGCATCAGGACCAGCTTCTTCTCCTTGCCTGGGATCGTCTTGTCTTTGACTACAGAGACGGAACTCCGCCACATCGCTCGGGACTTTAGTTTAACGACAACAACACACGTGCAGACGATGATGATGCCGAAGGTAATGTAAGGAATGAATAAGTCTGTAACGATGTAAGAGTAATCAAATACTACGTTTGGATCTTCGTGAAAAGCAGCCATGAGTAAGGTTCTGTTTAATTCGGGGACGTAGATCCAATCTAGGTAAACGACGTAGTAAGCAGGGACTAAGTCTAGAAGCATTATCAGGAAAATTAGAAGATTGACGTAGACGGAGACTTTTTTCGTGATGACGCGTTTAACTTTGAGAGGAATCAGAACACACAGGCATCTCTCAAAGGACGCGAATGCCGTGATGAATCCTCCAACCCGCACGAAGTAGTTGTGGGGGTAGAATGACGCAAGGGAAACCAAATCTACCTGGACGAACGGCAGATCTAGCTGGCTCAACCAGGGACTCATCAGCACGTTGTAGATCTGTAGCGTGACCAGTGACCCGATGTCGCTGACAGCCAGCGCTGTTAGCGTGATGTTCACACTGTCGTCGTAGCCTTGTTTAGCGAACACGCTGATGGTGATGAAGTTCGCTAAAATGCCCAGCAGCCCGATCACCTCGGCACAAATTAGAAGATTAAAAGTCATTAAAAACTCCACGACCTTTGGGTTAATTAGTGAGTAGCCTTCTTCCTCATTAATTAAAACCACTGTAGTTTGAGTAGTTTCCATATCAGTGTATGACACTGGCAGATATTTGATGTCACACTGAGGATGTCTTGTTGCATTTATCAAAGGCATAATAGCTAAATAATGGAAACATAATTTCTTTAACAGAGGGTGGCTATATATATTTTTTTTTAGCTTTGTAAAATGATAACTAAAATATGTTAGTGTAAATTACGATTAAAATGTAAAACATTATTCGAAGAGTTAAGACCAGGAAAATATAAATATTTAAAGTAAGTAAATAAATAAATATATCACTGCTATTGATCATTGGGATTGTGTTTTGATAGTGAACATTTCTACACCGTATAATATAAATGATACTTTAATGTAGTAACTATATTTGTATTAAAACTAAACTAAGAATAATAAGATGAAATAAAACTGAGCAGTTTCTAAAACAAACAGAGTAACTATCTGTGGTTTTCTTCTAAAAACAAGTCCCTCTGTTACAATTTGTTCATTTTGTGAGATCATAATTAGTTTTTTTTTAACAAACAACAACCGTAAATATTTACACAAAGCCGTTGTATAAGCCTACCTATTTTTAACAGCATCTGTAAATGTTACCACAAAGCCACTGGTCTGGTTTAAAAAAAAATTGCTATCGACTTATTGACAGACAAAAGAAAGTTTTTTGTCTGACGTGTTAGTGCAGAATTTTAATGATACTTGTATCTATTATTAATGTTATCTAATTATTTCTAATTGACTAATTGACTAGTTATCCACTATAATTAAAGTTAACCAACTTTTATTTTCTTATTCTGTCCAAGTTTTCTTCTCCGAATCAGCATAACAAAAATCTACTAATTACAAATTATTGGTAATTAGTTTTTATGTCAGATATAGTGTAGTAAATAATATAAAAAAAATTCTAAAGTAATTTGTGAGAACAAAGAATTTGACTACAAACAAAAACTAATTAAAATAATTATGCAGCTATAATTTTCAAAACAAAAATCTATTTAAAATATTTTATGACACAAAATAGAAAATATTTTTAACTTCGAATAATTAAAGGGCATACAAGCCTTATCTGTGTATGTGTGTACTTGTGTGGTTAGTGTGTGTGCGAGTGTAAGTGTGCGGGCATAATTGTGTCATACAAAACATCTAGTGTGTTTATCAGTGCAGTAAACGATGCAGTACATATATGATTTTCACTTGAGATCCTCCTGTAGAGATTTAGTTTACAAGTGATGCTCGCCTCACTGAGCTGTCTGTTGCCCAACTAGATAAATGTGGTGTTTGGCATATGCGCTATACGGATTTGGAAATAAACCGGGAGTGATCTCCCCTAAACTTTCTCGAATATTCCAATATAAAACTACGAGGGATGGCAACTCAGGACATAGACAATATTAATTTGTAATCCATTTTTAATTACTTAAACTTTTTATAATAGAATGGAATCTCGTAAAAAAAAAAAGAATTGCACACCAAGTGAACGCTTAATAAAATGTGCATAATAGGGCGGGATATTATTAGTACTTTATAAATTTACGTGCGTTTTTTGAGAAATCGGAAATAGCGTAAATTAGTAGTTCCGGTCAACGGAAATTACTCAAAATTTGAAAGAAGGTAGAGAATTAGATCTTTTACTTACTTGTGAAATTTCCTTTATCTATCTGAAATAGTACTCAAGTTATAGGCGTTTACAAATTCGAAGTAGAAAAAGTACCACTTCCGGTTATCGGAAATCGCTCAAAAGTTGATCAGGGTCTACGATTTTGATAAAATACTTGTATATGAAATTTCATCAAAACAGAAACACAGACAAACGGACAAGATTGCAAAATTATGTTTTTCCGTAACAGTGAGGTGTAAAACGTCGAGATTTGTAGAAATCTCGATTTTTTGCACGAGTACAATACTATCTATATACTTCGTATATACGAGAAAGTAAAAAAATGTTAAGTGTATTATGTTGGGTAAATGCGCTATACGAGTTTAGGAAAATATGTCAAATGTATTATGTTGGGTATATGCGCTATATGGATTTAGAAAAATATGTTAAGTGTATTATGTTGTGAACATGTAGCAGGACGGCGTGGCCTAGCGGTAGAGCGTTAGACTACTAACATGAGAGTCTCGAGTTCGAAACCGGGCTCAAATCAGTGCTGTCCACGCAATCTCCTCATATGTACCATGATTTCATTTCTAACACATAATTTTACGGCATGTTGTACTTCTGGTTTTATCGGGATCTGTTTTTTGTAGTTATTTTCAAATGGAAACAGACTAAATTTTTTCAACACATCTATACATAATCTATATTTACCAAAGCTATTCATTTAATTTATTATATTAATGTTTAAAACTCACTTTTAAAACTAAATATGTTAAACATTAAATCTAATCACGTAACCATATTACCAATAAAACAAATAAAAACCTTCGTAGTAACAAGCTTTTGTGTACTATAAAGTAGAACGTAAATGATTTTCTTTAAATATATAATAATACACAACTATTTAAAATAACCATAAAGAAAGCGTGTGTATCTTCCTAATATTAGTAAAGGTATTCAATATATAATATAGCGACCCACGCTTTTCTTTATAATTATTTAAATAGTAGCGTATTAATATATATTTAAGGGAATCCATTTATTTTCTACTTTTTAGTGCATTATTACATAATATCTTGTTGATAAAAGTTTTTTTTTATATATTTTTTTTATTTTTTTTTTTTACTTTTTGGTGATTCCTAATTTATGAAGTCGACATGACTAAAACTATTTGCTTTAAAACACCTTCATTAGCTCGCAACATCTAAAAGACGATTATCTGCCCTGTGAAAGCATATTTCAGAGACGACAGCAATTTCTTAATTTTCTTGTCTCACCTTAGTTTAAAAAACGTTATTATCTGTCAGTATTAGTCTTTACCGATTCGACCGGCTCTACGATTGTAAACATTCGGCGTGAACACATCTCACCAGACAGTTCGGGCGATAGCGTCTAAATCTCGCGTCTAGCGAACTAAATAAAAGCTTGTAGTAACATTTGCGGTCCCATAGGGACAAGACATCCTACTAGTTTCAGAAAAGTGTAATAATTTTAAAAAATAATTAATTAGTCATCCAATTACGTTTGATTTAATGTCATATTGCATTCTCATCGAGTCTTGGCCCACGTGCCGAATTCCAGAGAAATTGATCGGTTAGAAGTGCTTGAAATTTTGCCCTCTTGTTTCGATCCAGACAGAGGAAGCAAGTTACATAAAAGCTTGTAATAAACCCGACCAGTTTCCCCTTAGATCCGCAAGCCTCTGTTTATTTTCATTACAACTTAACGGAATAGGAGAGTACTAAAATCTAACCTAGAGAGGAGAAGTAAAAATCGCCTGTTGAACTTTAAAGTCCATGAGGCATGTGAAATAGCGTGTCACTTTTTCTGTGTAGGGATAGTGTGGTCAGCACTATGCCCAGCCGCCGTTACTTTCCATACCGTGAGTCAGGTACCCATCTAATGTGTTTGAACTCAGTGACTTCCAGCAAACTACAGCACTGGACCCGAGCTTGAGACTTTCGGGTTAGCAGTCGAACGCTCTACCATTTGACCCCTCGGTCAAATCATCCATAAGGATCACCATTTCAATGTTCTATTTCAAGTAGTTAATACTTTTAATTTTTAGTTTATCTAGTTAGCCGCTAAAATTAATATTGTATGTAGTAATGAGTGTTCATTTCCAGTTTATGTAGTTTGTTGTTCAACTTGCCATCTCATTTAGTAAAAAGCTCAAGTCAATTTTTCACCGCCTTATTTTATTTATAGATCTGAGCTACGTTATATGTGTACCTACAATTGACATTGTATAGTACATGGAGCAGTTCAGTCGACTTGTTGATTGTATGATTGTTACATTTAGATCGAGTACTAAAGATTGTGTGATTGTTACATATAAATCCAATAACTGTGGAATTGTGTGATTGTTACATCTAGATCCCATATCTGTAGATAGTTTATTGATAAAACTTGATTCACGAGGAACTGTATAATTACTGTGGTCTGATGATGAGGTCTGATGGTGTGGTCTGATGGTGTGGTCTGAGGGTGTGGTCTGATGGTGTGGTCTGATGGTGTTGTAATCTGATGGTGTGGTCTGATGGTGGGTCTGATGGTGTGGTCTGATGGTGTGGTCTGATGGTGTGGTCTGATGGTGTGGTCTGATGGTGTGGTCTGATGGTGTGGTCTGATGGTGTGGTCTGATGGTGTGGTCTGATGGTGTGGTCTGATGGTGTGGTCTGATGGTGTGGTCTGATGGTGTGGTCTGATGGTGTGGTCTGATTGTGTTATTAGATGGTGTGGTCTGATGGTGTTATTTGATGGTGTGGTCTGATGGTGTGGTCTGATGGTGTGGTCTGATGGTTTGGTCTGATGGTGTGGAATGATGGTGTGGTCTGGTGGTGTGGTCTGATGGTGTGGTCTGATGGTGTGGTCTGATGATGTTGTAATCTGATGGTGTGGTCTGATGGTGGGTCTGATGGTGTGGTCTGATGGTGTGGTCTGATGGTGTGGTCTGATGGTGTGGTCTGATGGTGTGGTCTGATGGTGTGGTCTGATGGTGTGGTCTGATGGTGTGGTCTGATGGTGTGGTCTGATGATGTTTTTTCCGACTCATGGAGCCCTAAAACGTGGAGATTTGCAAAAATCTCGATTTTGTTTTTGCACGTTTACAAGACTTTCTCTATATTCGTATATACGAGAAAGTAACATTCATAAAAAGAAACGTTTTATTTCAATATAGGTTACTATAATGTTCAGCGCTTGTAATTGAAAGTCTAATTGAATCGACTAAATGTGTAACGTGAACTGTCTAATAACAAAGTCAAATAAAAAGCAGGTTCAATGTCGGTTTAAAAATGTGCTTTTGGTCAGTATGATTACCTTTTAATGGCCAAAGTATGAATTATATCTTGGTTATAGATGTAGGGTCTAGCATTAGGCTGTGTTATCTACAAAATAAGTTCGAATGTTATGTGGCGTGAAAATAGGTGCAAGGTTTAAGTCAAAGATTTACGACTATTAATTTTTTACGAGACACACTGAAATTGCAAGTTTGGACAGGCGTAATTACTTTATTACATAATTATATATCTTTCATGACAGTTATTAGGAATTCATTACAAACGACTATGGATATTACAACTGTGTGAAGAGAAACATTGTGTGGGTGTTTTGTGTAGTTGAGCAGTTTGATTTAACAGTTTGCTAAATGGCAAAAAGCAATTAAAACCAAATATAAACAAAAGCCAACTAAGCAAATGCTTTATAATTAGTATTGGGATATAGAATGGCGCATTACCACATATCAACTACAACCCTTTCCCCGAGGTTAACCACCCTAATGTGTCTAGAACGTTTTCTAACAAGTATAGCAAGACAACCCGTCCTATTTATAACACTCACCCATCCCCACCACCAACAACAGAAGTGGTAAGTACGTGACATTAACATCTCATTACAATTATAAGCAATCGTGTAAATTTACATGTGTAATAATGTAAATGTTAAAATTACAAGTGAATAAAAAGCATCTGACATTAAATAAACAAGTGGTTAACATGCAACATATTTTAACACGAGAAAAATGGCCCGTTGATAGTGCTGTCTATTTTCTCGGTACTTTAATTTATACAAAATATAGTCATAGGCATATCAATAAACCATGCACCTAATCTCATTCATGACAAAAGTCGCTTTTAGAGTTTCTTTCAGGCAACTCTACTGGGGATGAGGGGGCTTGCCCCCCCCCCCCCCCCCACACACATTCCAACAAAACATGTCTACCGTCCCATTCAAAGAAATATAATTATATACTTTTTCCAGTGTCCGCCCCCTCCCAGAAAATTCTACCCCCGCCCCCGAAAATTTCAAGTACCCCACCCCTCTCCGCGGAGGAAAAAGTCTGAAAGAAACACTGGTCGCATTTGTAGATCATACAAACTAAAGGAAGAATCTGGGCGGGGCTTCGCCCCTACCGGAAGAGATGATTGAAAAAAAAACTGCACGCTAAACACTTTTTAGATTAGAAAAAGATCCCCCCTCCGGGGAGGAAAAAGTCTGAATGAAACACTGGTGTCGCGCTTAGCCACTACCCGAAGAATTGCATTAAAGAAATTGCAAGAAAACCACTTTTTAGATTAGACACATTAATTAGGCGGTAATTTTATTATAGAGTATCGATGAAGAAATTTCTTTGAGCCCGGTTTCGAACACGAGACTCTTGGGTTATTAGTCTAACGCTCTACCGCTAGGCCACGCCCTCCTGCTACATATTCCCAACATAATACACTTAACATATTTTTCTAAACCCGTATAGCGTACATACGCAACATAATACACTTAACATATTTTTACTTTCTCGTATATACGAAGTATAAAGAAAGTATTGTACTCGTGCAAAAAAAAAATCGAGATTTCTACAAATCTCGACGTTTTACACCTCACTGATACGGAAAAACATAATTTTGCAATCTTGTCCGTATGTCTGTGTGTCTGTCTGTGTGTGTGTCTGTCTGTCTGTGTGGTGTAAACACGATAACTTGAGTACCGTTACAGCTAGGTTGATGAAATTTCATATATAAGTATTTTATCAAAATCGTATATCCTGATCAACTTTTGAGCGATTTCCGATAATCGGAAGAGGTACTTTTTCTACTTTGAATTTTTAGAAAGCCTATAACGAGTACTATTTCAGATAGATAAATGAAATTTCACATGTCAGTAAAAGATCTAATTCTCTACCTTCTGTCAAATATTGAGTAATTTCTGTTGACCGAAAGTACTAATTTACGCTATTTCCGATTTCTAAAAAACGCATGTAAATTTATAATATAATATCCCGCCCTTTTAAGCACATTTTATTAGGCGTTCACTTGGTGTGCAATTGTCCATGTCCTGAGTTTTATTTTAGAATATTCGAGAAAGTTTAGGGGAGATCACTCCCGGTTTATTTTTAGTTTAAGTTAACATGTATGTTGCAAACACATATACTATATGTGTACATATTTATTGTGTACATTTGTTGTTTGGTGACCCTCGAATAATTTCCGTCAACTTCGCACATTGATTGAAACGTAATAAAAACATGACAACATAAATTGTGTATTCATTAAACTGACTTAGGACTAGATAGCTGTGACCCCCGGCCTGTCGTGACCCTAAACTCTGGACTTCAGGTCATGTGTGACACAGTGACAGACGGTGGAGGATGGACCATTTTCCAAAGACGTGTTTCTGGGACTGTAGATTTTTATCGGAGTTGGGCGGAATACAAAAATGGGTTTGGTGATTTCAGTTCAGGTAATTTTTACCAGGGTAATGAGAACATTTATCTCTTAACGTCTAAAAACAAAACAGAACTGAGAGTGGATATGACCTTCAATGGACAGAATTATTTCGCCAAGTGTTCCAGCTTCAACATTTCAAGCGAGACAGACGGCTACACGGGAAATGCTGGGGACGGTTTATCTGAACACAGCGGTTTTATGTATTCTACATTTGATCGGGACAATGACATAGACCAGGGGTCTCCAAACTTTTCTGTCCGAGGGCCGTATTAACTATCAAATTTCAGTTCGGGGGCCAGTTTCTTCCAGGCATGTCTTTGATTTTTCTGAGCAAAGTTCCTCAGCCATCACCAACAAACGATTTTTCCTTGGACAAAAAGATCACCACGCGCCTGATGAGATGACTTCGCGGGCCGCATCCGGCCCGCGGGCCGTAGTTTGGAGACCCCTGACATAGACGAACGTAACTTTGCTCATCTGTGCCACGGGGCCTGATGGTATAGCATTTGCCAGCGATCTAACCTCAATGGCTTATGGGGTACAAGAGACTCAGTTGCCATCATCTGGTATTTGAAAATTCATCATTTTTGAAATGAAGTTTAGAAATGCTTAATGTACACTAATAAGGCGGCGTGGCCTAGTGGTAGAGCTGTAGACTGCTAATCTAAAAATCTCGATATCAAATCAGTGTTTTGTTTATTTATTTATTCATTTCTTTAAATTCAGCAATACGTCCTGAGTCAACCGAGCTCAGATGTGTACTTAACTCACGTTGGTGAAAGTAAACGCGGCTGACCACACCATCAATTTATATGACGAGGCCATACTGTTTTTCAAGAAAACGTTGAGTGTTATTTAATTATATATTACAGCTTGATACTAAAGGGAAACTGATACGGCGAAGGGGGGGGGGGATTAATAGGGGGAATGAAGAAACATACGGGGGAAGGGATGATTGATCTAGGGTAATGGTATGCTGAAGTGAAGGTTGATTGGAACAACTCGTTAGTGTTGTAGTATGTGATTGACCGAGGACATATATAATTGTTAGTGCTCTGCTCTGAAGATAGTAACACATCATAGTGTTGAATCAAAACGTTTCTAAACAGAGAATTATGTGTATGTAACATAAGGACGTTTAATGTTAATTTTATGTACGTAGTTTTCTTTGTTATTGTCATTTAATACAAATTCAATTATACAGTTGCTCTACAGACTTTAAAAGAAATGTTTTAAAATGGTAGGATTTTTTATAAAGAAAAAGAAAGAAAATAAATATTAAATGCTATATAAATACTGTGTAGGGACTGATAGATCAATACTAAACTGGAACTTCTTTATAGGAAGCAGCATATTGATTATTTTAATAAACATTTAATTTAAAATGCACTAAAAGATGTGAGTGGTAAGTATTTTTGATAGAATAAATGCAGATGTAGACAGAAAATAAACATTTAAACCCAATTCACATAGTTGTTTTCCTTCTGTTTATCTGGTTGTAAATGTACAAATATGACCAGGTTAATAGATATTTAAGATAGTTTTTATTTCTATACTAAAAAATCATGTTGTTGAAATATTTTGTGTGTAGTATGTTTTTACCACATTTTATGCCAACTATCTATATTAGAATTGCATTTTTTATATTTGACTACCAACTAGATTGTGGATATTTTTGCTTTTTATTAAATTTGGAATATGTATCCATTACTTGTTTACTGGTAAATTTACATTTTATGTAGTACAACAGCGAATATAAAAAAGTAAAGTAAAGCTCAACTTTCAGAACAAATAGATGATGGTTTGGGGAAGTGGGATTGATATTTGGTGATGTTTTTATGGATCTGGGATTTATAGGATTATGTTTTGAGGGGCTCTACGACAAATTGCGGAAACTCACTTGTCCAAATGCCGTTTGCCCGAATGGACACTTGCCCAATTCGACAAATGCCCGAATAATTCAAATTTTTTTATAATTGAATGTCGTGTGCCTCTTTGTTAATATTATAGTATGCAATTTAAAACAAGTTTTTTTTTTCAACGAAACCATCGTCCGTATTGTAACTGATAGTTACATCTTTATTCACATTTAAGAAGCTCAGCTTTAGAAAACAAGGTCAAGTGTCTAAAAATACCCTACATAATATCACAACATGAGACCACAACATGAGATTACAATATGAGACCACAATATGAGACAACAACATGAGACCACAACATGAGACCACAACATGAGACCACAGCATGAGACCATAACATGAGACCACAACATGAGACCACAACATGAGACCACAACATGAGACCACAACATGAGACCACAACATGAGACCACAACATGAGACCACAACATGAGACCACAACATGAGATTACAATATGAGACCACAATATGAGACCACAACATGAGACCACAACATGAGACCACAACATGAGACCACAACATGAGACCATAACATGAGATTACAATATGAGACCACAATATGAGACCACAACATGAGACCACAACATGAGACCACAACATGAGACCACAACATGAGACCACAACATGAGACCACAACATGAGACCATACTATAAGACCACAACATGAGACCACAACATGAGACCACAACATGAGACCACAACATGAGACCATAACATGAGATTACAATATGAGACCACAATATGAGACCACAACATGAGACCACAACATGAGACCACAACATGAGACCACAACATGAGACCACAACATGAGACCACAACATGAGACCATACTATAAGACCACAACATGAGACCACAACATGAGACCACAACATGAGACCACAACATGAGACCACAACATGAGACCACAACATAAGACCACAACATGAGACCACAACATGAGACCACACTATGAGACCACAACATGAGACCACAACATGAGACCACAACATGAGACCACAACATGAGACCACAACATGAGACCATAACATGAGATTACAATATGAGACCACAATATGAGACCACAACATGAGACCACAACATGAGACCACAACATGAGACCACAACATGAGACCACAACATGAGACCACAACATGAGACCATACTATAAGACCACAACATGAGACCACAACATGAGACCACAACATGAGACCACAACATGAGACCACAACATGAGACCACAACATAAGACCACAACATGAGACCACAACATGAGACCACACTATGAGACCACAACATGAGACCACAACATGAGACCACAACATGAGACCACAACATGAGACCACAACATGAGACCACACTATGAGACCACAACATGAGACCACAACATGAGACCACAACATGAGACCACAACATGAGACCACACTATGAGACCACAACATGAGACCACAACATGAGACCACAACATGAGACCACAACATCAGACCACAACATGAGACCACAACATGAGGCCACAACATGAGACCACAACATGAGACCACAGCATGAGACCACAACATGAGACCACACTATGAGACCACAACATGAGACCACAACATGAGACCACAACATGAGACCACACTATGAGACCACAACATGAGACCACAACATGAGACCACAACATGGGACCACAACATGAGACCACACTATGAGACCACAACATGAGACCACAATATGAGACCACAACATGAGACCACAATATGAGACCACAACATCAGACCACAACATCAGACCACAACATCAGACCACAATATAAGATTACAAAATAAAACAACCTCAAGAGACTCAACCAAGAGAGCACAGAACTTTTGTAATAGCTCCTTGACGCAGCTGATTAAATTACACTGTGGTTAAATAACAATACCAGACCGGTTATTGATCTCTGTTATGCAGTGTTTTGAAACGAATTAATTTTTATGACGTCGTGCTGAATTGTTAACAGTTAACTTCAGTGCAGCTATTGTTTTCTCTGATGTATTGATCGTGTACATTGCCATGCATTGCCTTATAGGCTACACATTTAATGAATAAAATATCAATAACGTTATATTTCAAAGTGTTATTGGAATATAACATAAGATTGTAACGGCCGACATAGTTTACAACAACAACATACCATTCAGCTTTATAAATCGATTTGAACATTTTTGGTCAGGGAGGGAGCTAAGCTTACAACAACAGGTTGGAAGTTAGAACAACATATTTGCTGTCTCTCGTTTTGGATGTCAGGTCTTTTGTTTGATGTCACATCGTGTGTTGGATGTCAGGTCTTTTGTTTGATGTCACATCTTGTGTTTGATGTCACATCTTGTGTTTGATTTCACATTTGTGTTTGATTTCACATTTGTGTTTGATGTCACATCTTGTGTTTGATGTCACATCTTGTGTTTGATGTCACATCTTGTGTTTGATGTCACATCTTGTGTTTGATGTCACATCTTGTGTTTGATGTCACATCTTGTGTTTGATGTCACATCTTGTGTTTGATGTCACATCTTGTGTTTGATGTCACATCTTGTGTTTGATGTCACATCTTGTGTTTGATGTCACATCTTGTGTTTGATGTCACATCTTGTGTTTGATGTCAAATCTTGTGTTTGATGTCACATCTTGTGTTTGATGTCACATCTTGTGTTAGATTTCACATCTTGTGTTTGATGTCACATCTTGTGTTTGATGTCACATCTTGTGTTTGATTTCACATTTGTGTTTGATGTCACATCTTGTGTTTGATGTCACATCTTGTGTTTGATGTCACATCTTGTGTTTGATGTCACATCTTGTGTTTGATTTCACATTTGTGTTTGATGTCACATCTTGTGTTTGATGTCACATCTTGTGTTTGATGTCACATCTTGTGTTAGATGTCACATCTTGTGTTTGATGTCACATCTTGTGTTTGATGTCACATCTTGTGTTTGATGTCAAATCTTGTGTTTGATGTCACATCTTGTGTTTGATGTCACATCTTGTGTTAGATATCACATCTTGTGTTTCGTGTAACCACATCACAGTTGACCTTACGATCGCCTGCCCTAACTTAGAAAGTCGTGGTGATGCTGCCAGCACACGACTGAACGAATCATTTTCACCAGACTTTTAGATTCTGTACTATTAAGGTCCAGTATATCAAGTTTTATCGAGGTAAGGTTGTTTGGCTTCCTTAGAAATTAACTTTATTACTGGAAAATGGGTACCTTAAAATTATACGGTAAAATTTCCAATTTTAGTGAGATTGGGACACTCTTCATTAAAAATGTCTTATGAATTAAAAGTAAAAAGGGATTTTTTTTTGTTATTTCTATTCAAATAGTTTAGTGTGAGTAATTAATTTGAAAAAAAAAAAAAAAAAAAAAAACTAATTTAATATCTCACTTTGATATTGTTGATGATCCTTTAAATGCAGAAATATAGTTATCTATTTTTAATTTGTATAATGTTACCACTAAAACTTTGACTTTGAAGTCATTTAAACATATCCTTATCATCTTGCTAAATGTTTAAAAAAATGTAAATACGGCTCTAGTAAATGAATTGCCACCTCCGAGAATTTTTCACCGTCATTTCATTAAACCTGAACGATTACCTCTTTGTCTATAATATTGCACGTAGGTTATTAGACTTCAACTTATTATGTCCGCCGTTAAGGTCTTTGATCACGTGGGCTACTTAATTTCGGATCAGGAGATTTTTAAATTATTGATTGATTTTGCTTTTCTTTGGACCCTCCTAGTGTACACGTCAGAACTCTATCTCCTCACATTCTATACATGTGTTTTATTTAGGAGATTTAAGAAAAATATGTACATACGGTTAGCAAGTAAAATATGTAAGCGGGAAATGTATTGATTTCTTCATTGATCAATGTGTTTGTTCCATACGACTTACTGCAATACGTAGTGTAACCTAATGTATGTTTCCGTTGTATTCATATTAAGGTGCTCATTGTTTCAGGAAACATTTTGACATGATTACTGTGTATCGGGTTCAGTTATTTTAGTGCCGGCATGGGTTGGTGCATGTGACGGATGATGTGCGATTTTGTTTGTTTTGTGGTTCATGTATACGGTGTATTGTTTCCCCTTCTGTTATTCCCTCCTCTATAGTGTGAATATAATATTATTGTATACCTTGTTTCCACCCCCCCCCCCCCCCACACACACATAAAAGAAAATAAAAAGCCCATTTAAGTTTAATCTGCCCTAACAAAGCACGGGTCTTCAACTCGTACTGTATAACCCAATAATGAACAGTTTGTTTAGCACACGAATACATCCATTAACCGTCAACCGTATAAGTCTGTTCAAGTGTTAACAAAACCAACGAGGCGTACAGCGAGCGATCAACAGAAGTCTTTTCTTTCTACAATACAAACGATATTCAAGGTTACAAAAGTTATTACAATGTTTTGTAATTGATTATATAAATTTATAAAATAATGTAACTCGCGATCAGTGTTAGATTCAAATATTATAACTAGTAAGTTCCATTTTAAGACACAGTGAAAATAAGCGTGTATATTTTTTGACAATGAAGTAAAAAGGACGGTATAGTATATGTCGCTTTAATGAAACTTGTATCCTTTTTTACTTTCTCGTATATACGAAGTACAGTGAAAGTCTTGTAATCGTGCACAAAAAAACATGAAATTTTGACAGTTTTCACCGTTTTACACCTCAGTCCTTCATCACATCCGAAGTATAGAGGACTTATTTATTCGGGCAAAAATTATAAATACAAATATATAAACATTTTGGCGTTTTATGCGTTATCGAGTCGGAAAAACTGGACTTTGAAATTCTGTGTATGTGTTTCTGTGTGTCTGTAAACACAATAACCTGAGTACCGTTACAGCTAGGTTGATGAAATTTCATATATAAGTATTTTATCAACTTTTGAGCGATTTCCGATAATCGGATTTGGTACTTTTTTTACTTTGAATTTTTCAAAAGCCTATAACTTTATTATTATTTCATATAGATAAATGAAATTTCACCTGTAAGTAAAAAATCTAATTCCCTACCATCCGTCAAATTTTGAGTAATTTCCGTTGACCGGAAGTACTAATTTACGCTATTTCCGATTTCTCAAAAAAAACGAATGCAAATTTAAAAAGAACTAATAATATTCCGCACTATTATGCATATTTTATTTGGCGTTCACATGTGTGCAATTCTTTTTTTTTTACGAAATTTTTTTTTTATTTTACAAAGTGTAAGTATTTAAAATGGATTAAAATTCATGTCTATATCCCGAGTTCCTATCCCCTGTTTTTTATATTAGAATATTCGAGAAAGTTTAGGGGAGATATCTCCCGGATTTATTTTAAAGAATATTTAATTTTACATTATCGAAATTATTATTCTAAAAATAAGAAGCGCCAATTTTCTATCGCTTCAGGTAAGTATAAAATCCTTTAAATAACATTTTATAAATTAAATTCAAAAGGTTCAAAGATTTGCCTCAATGTTGAGGCTTCTATATATAGCAACACATGACTACATTTTAGACTAAGTATATTCTTAACTAGAAAAGGGGTTAATCGCTTAGGTTAGACAAATGTGCACAGCAGAAGTACCGTAATAGACTTATTGAGAATTCGAATCGGTTGGTTTTTTTTCGAAAATTTGTGGGATATGATTTTATAAAGATAATACAGTCACAAGTTAGTTATACAACTGTAACGATTTTTTTCCGACACACTCGGTGTTAAGGTCTACGACATTATTGGAAGTTTCATGCGATGACTTCAAATAATTAGTTTTTTTAATACATTAATTATATAAGGCAGAGGTCACTTGCTGTCAGAAATTACCCCTCCCCCCTGGCAGAGAATGTGGATTCATATCGTGAGTTTTTTTTCTCGTTTTCGTTTAAGAGAAAGGGAACCTATTCAAGGGTCTATGGGGTTGTTAAGTACACTAACAAAGTTGACAAAAAAAAAAAAGAAAATTAATTATATGATATATATATATATATGCCTATATAAGCCTATTTATATATAGATGTGTTTGTTCATTAATATTGCACAACAATAATGATATATTTAACCTAAATTCTAACTAGTAATAATTCTTTTTCATGTATCTGAAATACCACGAACAGTTGAAAAAAAAATCTTGGGTACAGGTATATGTATACGAGTAAATTTCACAGTAGCACTTCACTATGTGGACTCAAAGTGTTATAATCATAATGTGCATCGTCAGGCAAGGTTAGTTGTCTATGTCTTATGTGTGTCTCTTAAAGCTTTGAAAATGAAATCAATAACTCAAGTCATCTCTTATAAACGTTTAACTGTAGCCATATAATGACCACCTATAAGCGCACATGTCCAGATAATGACCACATATAATCATACATGTCCACTCAATCATAACATACTAACATACATGTCCACATTCTGACCATTACATTTCCGTTTTTTTGTTGAAAATTAAAGAAAAAAAAAAGGTTTTTAAAAATTTTAAGATTACAAGTCCCACACAAGATTTACTGATTTTTTTAAAAAAAGAGTTAAACATTATAAACACAATTACTCTATTCAGTGGCGTAGCGAGGTCGGGTGTCACCCGGTGCGGCACTTAATGGTGTCAACCCCCAGAGGCGTAGCGACCCTTCCCGGGGACAAACTTTCAAATTTTCGATTTCTTTCGATTTGCACCCCCCTCTCAAACTTTCGATTTGCCCCCCCCCCCCTCAAGTTTTTCTCTATATATTTTGCTATTTTTTGCCTTGGTGTCACCCCCTAAATGGTGTCGCCCGGTGCGGTCCGCACCCTCCCCCCGCCCCCCCCCCCTCTCTACACCTCTGACTCTATTAAATATTTATAAATGTTAGCTTGTTAAAATATTTTTTTTACACCTACAGAAAATTGCATATACATTTATTATCCTATAGCTCAGTCAAATGACTCGATAAAACAAAACGAGTATAAAGTTGTTGCCGACACAAACGTGACCATGCTACCCATCGATGTAGAGTTTGACCAAGTCAGCCTTTTGTCCTGCGCTTTACTTTGCTTGAGTTCCAACAAAACGTGCTATAGCTACATCTACAACGAAACCACAAGACATTGTAGCCTGGGTAAATTCCCATTTACAAGTGTAGCTTATTTAATTTCTCATGATTAGGTTCACTAGTTTAAAATTACCGTTTAATGAGATTTTGATGTAACATATGGATTTTTGGAAACATGTAAGAAATATTGACATTTGCTTCACGTTCGGACTCTAATGTAGATCAACAATTTTATCTATAGCAGATTTTTTCAGATACTCATTTTAAATGTATTGTCAGAAACGTGTTTTAATTTGAAACTACTTATTAAGTAGTACTTTTCAGAGAGGTTTCATTTTTTTTGTTTTGTTGGCATTCATAATGGCTTTGATATATTGTGAATCTCCATTTAGATCTTTCGGCAAATATTAACCTAAATTATTTTTAAGTTTTCGATATTAACTGTGTTGCTATAAACAAAGTTGGATAGAGACATTTTAAAATTACAAAAAAGGGAGTATTTTAAAAAATACTGTATTTGCTCTAAAAAAAAATAACAACTCATGAGATCTGTTCAATGTTTTAGCGACCAAAGCCTTTATGTTTTTGTATAATATTTTTTTATTCTTTACTTTCAACTTATTTATAGTTTACTAATCAATTTACTTATAGCGATTAAAAGTATTCGGTTTCAACCTCCCTAGCTAGCTCGCGATATTTAAATGTAAACTTCGGTGACAATAGTTCAAAGATGAGAGCAGGCTTATAAAGATATTGCGAGTTCTGAATCGTTTAAATATTCTCTTATCTGCCCTTTAATAGTCTTTACTAACTGAACACTACGATTGTAAAAACTTAATTAAACCATAGCTGAGCAGACTTATCGGGTGATCTCGTATAGCTAGTTATCTCCACTCATTGTATTCAATATAGTAAACTTTAAATCTATTTTAATAACTAAATAAACATCGAATTAAAGTGAAAATTAGATAAACGGACGTTGCGAATTAAGTAAAAACGTGTTAAATTGTGTTTGATTTACTAGGCTCATGGCTTGTCTCACAGAACGCTTCTCAAAAGTTTCAAGGGAGAGTTTTCTCTAGCGTTAAGGTTTTCTCTAGTTTCATTAATAAGCCCCACACTGATTATCAACATTCTCCAAAACTACTTTGTTAATTTTACGAGTTAACTGTTCAAGGAAATATATGCCTTAAACCCTCGTATGAAGAACTTTTTTTGAGAGGTGCTCCGTCATAACATTAAATCAATCAAAACAAAATAGGATTACGATCTCTATCGAGATGTGTTGCAAAAACCATTTACCTTGACAAATCAAACTTTTTTTTTTAAATCAATAGATGTTTAACTATAATTATATTGTATTACGAGTTGAAGGCTCTTGACAAACACATGAGTTTGCTTGGCCCATGCTTTTATTTTAGAGATTAAAAAGTAGATTATCATAGCATTGATAAGAATGAAGTACCGGAAATTTCCATAAAACGCGATGAAAAAATCAAACTAATTATTCGCTTTCGAAATCATAAAATGCAATCGTTATTGAAAACAACACTGTTCACTCATCGCCGTACTAAAAGGAACATATGTGAACAACAACAGGGGGCGCTGATAAACGACTATGCTATAACACTTTTAGGGGGGGGAGGGTAATTAATAAAAATAATCTGTATATTTTATACTTCCTGATTTGGCATTTATAATGTACTATTATATAGTACCCCGTAAAATAAAATAAATTTGACTTTATATAACTTAAAAGAGCAAAACAATCGTAAGCCTGTAACATAATAATATATGTAACCAAACACAGTAGCGACACAAAGGCGGAGGTGGGGGTGAGGACCGCATGGGGTGACACATTTTAGGAACGTGCTAAAAAACTTAACATTTAATGTCAAAGCAATGTTTTTAATCCCCTTCAAATAGTAAATTATACAAAGAGAGGGTTTAAACACATCCTAGTGACGCAACTAACCAAACACAAAAATATGTAAAATTTTCTCATAGTGTAGTTTAATGTCAGGGACTTAGCGGGGCGCTCTCGGTTCCACTACACTTTCCTTTGTTTGGTTTTGTCATCAAATGTAGCCCACCGTGTCACAATGGTAGGGTACTCATTAAAACGAATGTAGATACCGTAGTGCTCATTAGGGAGCCAGATCATTTGACCTCCCGAGGCCGTCCCTGTTGTAGTTTGACAGATGAATCAATTTGAACCACTGACCCCCTGTGTAGGACACTCAATCAGTGGATCCCACATGGGAAACTCGAGTCTCCCACTTTTATTCTACTTCTGTGCACCATTGGGTTGGGTCACTTTGTGTGTGGCGGGGGGGGGGTGTAGTAGGGAATCTCCGGTCAGTTGAGGTTTGTGACGATGCAAATACATCTACCAGTGCCGGATTGTACAGACGAGCAAAAATCAAGGTACAGTTTATCATTACATAACATTACCACGACCACACACAAACATGTTCGGTGTCACAAGGTGTGAGCGTCAAGAGGCGTCCAGCTTTTATTTATAGCCTAACTCAATGGTATGCCAGAGAATACCTGAAGTTTTACTAATACGGATGGGACTATGCAGCGAACTGGGCCCCGTTCGGTCACATCCATCTATACATCTATTATTATTTGGGGTCCAAAATTAAAATATTCTCAATAGCAGAGCAAAAATATTATTATTTTTTTTTGTTTTTGAAATTATTTATATAAAACAAAAATTAAAATCACAATGTATAAGTTCTAACTTTTTCAAAAAAAGAAAAATGGAATCAATTTGGCTTGGGGCTCGCTGCCTTGCATACGATAGCTTTTCGGTAGCTACGCTGCTGTATTGTTGTGATACTACAGGAAATAAAAAGATTCAGCGATGTTCATGTACACCTTTTATTTTTATGTATAGCGGCTATGATTTTGACATACATGTGTATGGATTACTCACTATATATATATATATATATATATATATATATATATATATATATACACGTTTCTTTATTTATTGTGTGGTTTAAAAAATGATTTGTGTTAAAATTTAATTCAGCAGACACATTTGATCCTTGTTATGGAGTGAAAAGTAGTGACCCCCGACCTTTGGTGACCCTAACCTCTGGACTTCAGGTCATGTGTGACAAAGAAACAGACGGCGGAGGATGGACCATTTTCCAAAGACGTGTTTCTGGGACTGTAGATTTTTACAGGAACTGGACGGAATACAAATATGGGTTTGGTGATTTCAGTTCAGGTAATTTTTACCTGGGCAACGAAAATCTTTATTTGTTTTCTTCCGTACGTCAAACACAACTGAGAGTGGATTTGATTTTCAACGGAACAAAATATTTCGCCAAGTATTCCAGCTTTAATATCTCTAGCGAGGCAGACGGCTACAGGCTATATGTTAATGGCTATACAGGAAATGCCACGGACAGTCTAGCAGACCACAATGGTATGAAGTTCACAACGTATGACCGGGACAATGACATGTACAACCAAAACTGTGCTGTCGTCCAGCACGGGGCGTGGTGGTACAAATCTTGTTACAGCTCTAACCTGAACGGTCTGTGGGCTGTCAGCGTTATGGGTATCAACTGGCTACCCAGGTACAACGCATCGTTCAGTGAGATGAAATTTAGATATACTTTTTAAAGCTTAATTTATTTTATCTTTACATGATTTTGTTTTAATTATTAAACACCCAGAAATGTGTTAAATTAAAAAATTCAATCCGTGGTGCCTATCCTTTTTAAGCCATACACAAAATTAAACATTCTATTAAATAGTACGAAATATTTTTAACACAACAGAATTGATTTTTCTTATACAATTTTGGAGTAGGAAATTAATTTTTGTAGATGATTGTTTCGATTGATACACTGTTTTCGTTTAAATGTATTCGTGTTCTTCTTCTGTAACAAGTCTTTGTCGTTTACGATATTAAAGTTGTGTAGCAAATACCTGAAGCTTCAGTCTACTGTTTTTACCATCTTTATTCTAGAAGGTTTTATTATTATCTTTTAACGTGTTTAAAATTATAGTCTAGTAAAGCAATAAAATACAAACTTATGGGGCAGCGATGTATAATTTGAATTTTCCGAAAAATTGAAGTTCGAGTCTATTGATGTTGTCTCCGAATATTGTCTATTATTTGTGTGTGTGTGTGTGTTTGATTGATTCATAATATACCGTCTCTGGTAAATTAATTAAAATAAAGAACACCACCGATTTCTTTAGTATTGAGTTACCATCTTAAAATAAAGAACACCACCTATTTCTTCAGCATTGAGTTACCATCTTAAAATAAAGAACACCACCGATTTTTTCAGTATTGGGTTACCATCTTAAAATAAAGAACACCACATATTCTTCAGTATTGAGTTACCATCTTAAAATAAAGAACACCACCGATTTCTTCAGCATTGAGTTACCATCTTAAAATAAAGAACACCACCGATTTCTTCAGTATTGGGTTACCATCTTAAAATAAAGAACACCACATATTCTTCAGTATTGAGTTACCATCTTAAAATAAAGAACATTACCGATTTCTTCAGCATTGAGTTACCATCTTAAAATAAAGAACACCACCGATTTCTTCAGTATTGAGTTACCATCTTAAAAAAAAGAACACCACCGATTTCTTCAGTATTGAGTTACCATCTTGGCTACCACCGTTTTCTGAAATAAAAATGTAACAATGCTTTAGTTACTATACTGTGTTACAACACAACAAGGTCATGAAAACACGAAACTACAATGGGGTAGTAAACACTTCAACTATCACAGATGTTTACTTGAGAGTGGGTGTATGTGTGCTACTTTATGTAACTGGTAAAATAATCATTTTTCAGGCTTCAAATAAACTCTTGTTTTGACCTCGAAATACGAAGGGATTTGTAGTCAGTAAATTGTCATAACGACTGAAATGTTACTTATTCAAAGTACCCATTAGAGTCTTAAAACTTTCAGTAGATTCAACCATTAAAAAATTATTTATACAAGATACATACATTTTAATGTTATGTTTATCAAATTGAAAGAAAATGACAGTTTGTGTATTTATTATATTTAATATACATAGGCCAGAGGCGAGTTAAGTCGAAATTGGATCAACAGAAACATGAAATTGTTTAATGAGGTTATACTTTCTCTGATGTAGAAATTTAGTGTCTGATTTAGCTAGCAGCTTTCTGTTTAGTTTAAATCCAGATTTTCACTTAAAAATCAATTCTTTATCGGATGCGGACAGAACTTCATTGAAACATGTTATAAGCTTTTCTGTGTGATAAAAGAAACAGACCGTTTTGAAAAAAAATTGTTTGGAATCACAAAATACAGTTCAAGCAGACTGTTGACACATGTTCATCCCCTTTAATAAAATAAGCACAATAATAAGGGAAGTAACAAGCACATACATTTTTTAATTCAAGGATTTATATTTTGTTTCTATTAGGCTAACAGACATATTCGTGGTCGAGTCGGTAAAGCTCATGGTTGCTAAACCTATAAGTCTCGAGTTCGAACCCTTGGGCAGATGACGCTGGAGACAGCCATTCTTCTAGGAGAGACAACTCCAAAAACAAACAACTGCTGCCTTGTAGTTTGTTCTAGGTTGGACAAAGGCAATGGAAGCAAATCCAAAAAGAAAAGCAGGCTGAAATCTGAGTCAATGGCCTCAATGGCGCATAACCAGTTGACACGTATCCTTAATTGTGTTGGAGGTAAATCCCATCCAACACTAAAATTAAGAACGAAGAAGAAGAGACATATTCATACATAAAAATGTACAAAGTCGAACGTTTGTCATTCAGTCGATGAGATTATCTATTGGAAACAACTAGAAAATCGTTGTATTCATTTTAATACGAGCTATTTGTTTATCAATAGTAGAAATGTATCTTTTTTGCAATAAATTTGAACAAGGAAAAAAAGACAGCAAGCAACTGAAATCGCTGTGGTGCTAAATAAGACCCGATCTCCATTAATAGAAAAATGTGCTATACGATTGAAAGCCAAGGGAAATATAATATAATATATATATATATATATATATATATATATATATATATATATATATATATATATATATATATATATATATATATATATATATATATATGTATATATATATATATATATATATATATATATATATATATATATATATATATATATATATATATACATATATATATATATATATATATGTGTGTGTGTGTGTGTGTGTGTGTGTCTTGTAGCTTTATTATACCGACAGCCTTAAAATAAAGGTGGTGGACTATTTAAAAGGAGGTTGCTTCATTTGTGTATTACCCTTTTCTTTTTTTTTAAATCCTCATCAATTTAAAAAAGAAAGTACACATGTCCAAATAGTCAATTTTTAATTTGACTAAAACTTAGAAAAGATTATTGTACATTAAAAAAAATGGGATGTTATTGGTAAAGTATTAAATTGTTTTTTATAATAAATGTAGTATTTAATTGCCATGTGTCATTTCAATGGAGAAACATATATTATTCAGCAGTAAGTTTTCATTTACGTTGTTGCTGTCTGCAAATACTGATTTTTTTAAGACAATAATTTCACTTGTCTAAACCAAACATATTTTAAATAACGTTTATTAAACCTAGAATACAAAAAAAAAAAACATAATTATTGAGCCTTGATAGACGGAGACATACAATAAACATAAATTATGTATTGATTTCCTCTGCTTGCTAGACTGGGGATGAGAGACTGTCTTGGTGTGCGTGGTTTTTTGGTGTGTGTGTGTGTGTGTGTGCGGGGGGAGGAGGGGGGCGTGGTGGTGATTATATTAAGGTGGGGATGAGGTGGTGGGGATGGTAGTTTGGTTGTATAAAGAAAATCAATATTATTGCATTTCTCATTTAAAGAAAGAAAAATGTCTTTTTTAATCCTGTAGCATTTAAAAATAGAATGGCAAAGTAAAACCTAGTAGGCCTATATAATAAAATACAAATTTATGTTGCATAGGTTATTTTTGTCAATATGAATTTTATTATCAGAAATAATAACACTCTCTCTTCAATAATCTTGTTTGGTTTATCTTCTTTAAGAAACATTATTACATTATTTACATAGTATAATATAAGTGTAATGAGGTAGGCAGGCTTTGTATCAACCATGGACACCTCTACTGAAGAGCTATCGAATGTTATAGATAGTACGGGGCTGGTACCTATACAGGTCTTAGATTTTTTCCTCATCCTCAACTTATTCTGGGGAGAGGTTGTCGGCATATTTGGCCTCGCTGCCAACCTTCTCAACATCATCATCTTCAGCAAACAGGGCTACGACGACAGCGTCAATGTCACGCTAACTGCGCTAGCGCTCAGCGACATTGGCGCGCTGATCACGCTACAAGCCTACAATCTGATGGTTAATCCTTGGTTTCTGCGTGCGGAACTTCCCGTTGTGGCTATTGATTTAGCGGGAATTTCCGCTTTTTACCCGCATAACTATTTTATACGTGTATGTGGGTTTATAACAGCGTTTTCAGCGCTGGAGAGATGCTGCTGTGTGTTGCTACCTTTAAAAGTGAAACGTTTATTTACAAATAAAGCCACGTTAATCATAAACATTGCGATATTTATAGTAACTCTTTTGGATGTTTTTCCGATTTATTTTGTAGCTTTTCTTGATTGGGCGTTTTACCCCGATGTAAACAAAACCCTTTTAGGAATGACTTTCCGGGAAGACCCGAATCCTATCTTTAGCGTGTCTTACTTCATCACAGATTTATTCGCACCGTATTTCACATTTTTCGTCATCATCACCTGCACCTCCCTGACAGTTCTTACACTGAAGCGGAGGGCGGCGTGGAGGAAGGACGTCACGAGCGTCAAACACCACACCACCACTGGGATGACGAGGAAAGACACGAAACTTGTTCTGATGCTGTCGGCTGTCTCCTGTATGTTCATCGCGTGCCTCGTCCCCCAGTCCGCCATCTTGACAGCCTTGACCTTCGTGCCAGGGATAGGCGTGCACGAGCCGTACTTTGACGTCTCGCTCGTCTGCTACTCCATCTGTTACGTCATGGAGACCGTGAGTTCCAGCGCGAATGTTCTGGTCTACTACAAGATGAGCAGCCGGTACAGGGAGACCTTGCACGGTCTGATGGCGCCAGACAAGTAGAAATATCTGGATACTCGTTAGAGAAATCTAGTCAATGTAGTTTAAACCTCGTCAATAGATAAAGGTTAAAACAACTCTTAGCTTTGTTGAAAGCTACAGGCAAGAAACACACAACATAGTCAACGGCTAGAGGATGAAACATATCTTGGCGTAGTAAATGTTACGAGCAAGAAACACTCTGAACATAGTCAGTTAGGTTAGGTTAGGTTTGCATGTCGTCTCTCCTGGGACATAGGCCGCTGACAAGAGCTTTCCAGGCGTCTCTGTCCAGGGCTAGTCTCTCCAACTGTCCCCAGGTGTATCCAATCTTCTTGGTGTCTTCTTCCAGGTCACGTCTCCAGGTCTTTCTTGGTCTGCCTCTCCTCCTTGTGGGTTCCAGGTGAGGGCTTGTCTTGTTATGCTGGATACAGGCTTCCTGGGTTTGGGGGCCAATCCATTTCCATTTTCTCTGGGGGATCTCTACTTCAACTTGCAGTTTACCTAGTCAACAGCTATAAGTTAAAACCACTGTTAGTCTTGTCGACAGAAGGAAACAGTTTGAATCTTGTCGAAGCTAGCCCGTAGACACAATACACATTATGTGTAACACCATCCAGGTCAAGCCATGCAATAACATGGATGTGAAAAAACTTTTCACTCCTCTAATGTTACAGAAAACAAATGGCACGATATATACTCAGGTTGTTTAAACTCTGTAACATTTTTTTTTATATACAGCAAGTTGGCCGACGGTTATTTCAGTTTGATGTGTAGCGGGCCAATACACTCGCAACTGTGATTTAAACCTATAACTATACTAAAAGTATAAATTACGTTTTTAAGCTTAACATAAAATGATTTATCTCAATTGAAGACTGGCAGTTATACACTAAGTAAAGCCAGCTAAAGTTGACACTGTAAGAGTGAAATGCAATATAACACAATGAAGTGAGATGACCAGGTATACAGACACACAATTACAGCAGAGATTTTTAGTGAGCAGAATGGGGAAAAGAATAATTTAGAGAATTGGGGAAGAAATGGTAGTTCAAGATAAATATGAACAATCACCCTAGAGAACTATGTTGCATTCATTCACGGATTAGACTTTTAAAGTTTAGAATTGACATTGTTAAAATTCTACAGACGCCCATTTAACACAACCTTAACAGTACTGGCTATCAGCGAATTTTGGGTTTTTGTTAAATTTTACAGATCATCATCTTTGTGAGCCAATGGATTTTAAGTCTGGATGTGTCGTTTTTTCAACGGGTACATTTTTTCACGAAATTACCATATCAAAATGAACAGCAGTGAAAGCCTATATCGAATTTAAAATATAAATACTGTTTAAAAAAGAATGGTATACAAAATATGTATGTCATTATTAAACTAAACACTTTATAATTGTTAAATAATGTTTCTTGAATTTATTTTGTATAAAAAAGAATATAAGTATTACTTCTAGTTGTTTTAGAACGACCGACTAACTACATTTGAAATTTTCCAATCAACAAGTTAGGAAAAACAAACACACAAAATCTTAATATTTTTATTTAAGCTCTTATATGAAATTAAATTAAGAAAATAACAAGAATATTCTTCAGTTTTGTTAGTGAAAGTAAAAAAAAAAACAATTGTTGCTAATTATCTAACGGTTTTTTTTTTTTTACATTTTATGCTGCACAATAACACGTAATTCTTATAAAGTTACAAATGCGTATTTTATTAAATGAGTGATAAGAGTTATTTTGTTTTGAGTCATTCACACAACTTATGCCTAAAGACATGCAAGAATATATATGTTTATTTGCATTGTGTGCTAACATAGTAACAAAATGACAATGTGACGTTTGAGAAATTGTTGTAACGTCCTATTTCATGGAAAATATTACAGTCAGAACCAACTTTATAAATCATTGTCTTGATTTGTAACTACATGTGACTGCGCAATTAATTAATTACGAATCAACATTAAATATATGGATCTCGATTTCAATGTTATTTTCGAATATTTCATCATTATAATTACGTAAACAGAATTCATTTAAAACTTTGGTTTGAAAATACATATTGAAAATTACTGTTCATAATGTTAACAAAAGACGTCATATTGTAAACAGAGACCATTTATTTAATTTAAAAAGTTATATTTTAATTAGAATTCCGAGATAAGTATTCAGCCAATGGGGAAATTATTATTTACCATATCACATGGAATCAAACATCGTTAAAAAAACCAAAGGATAAAATTTTCTAAAAGTCATTACATTTTCTACTTATTTTGTTTAGAGATAATTGTTTCACTAACGAATAAGAAACACGTTATATCTTTTAATTGATGAAATTAACGATGTGTAAGTTCCACCGTGCACGAGCAAATCGTGTTGACACTTTAATTAAAATTTAGAAAACATAAAAAATCTATCATAGTTATTTAAATTAGATAACTACATATTAGACTTACTTTACAGCAAAGAACTTGTATTTTCCAGTTGACACAGTAACCTAGTATAACATTTTCAATGGCAAATATTTTCTAGTGTTAATATAACAAAGGGTCTAAAGACAATTTATGCAGAGATAACTTCTTTTTCAATCTTGATTTTAATTTTGGAAGGGATTTCATCCAACACAATCAAATATTACTTGTCAAATTCTTTAGTGCCATATAGGCCGTTGACTCCGATTTCAACCTGCTTTTCCTTGCAAAGTTTGCTTCTCACAAAGAACAAACTTCAAGGTTGCATTTGTTTGATTTACGAGTTTTCGCTCCGAGGGCAACACTGTCCGGGGGTTTGAACTCAATCTTTTCGGTTTAACAACCATTAGCGCTACCGTCCGACCACACCGACTCAGCATAGAGATATGACCGAGTAAGTTTTGGAACTATGGCGGGAAACTTTACAGATTTGATAATCTCGCGAGATGAACAATGGACAGGTCTGCTACAGCCTCTAGTTCTTGACATCGCTATTGGGTTGTGTGCCCTTGTCAATGAGGCTCTAGGAATTCTGGGTATCGTGGCCAACATTGTTAACATTCTCGTGTTCTACAGACAAGGCTATGACGACAGTGTTAACATTACGTTAACAGCGCTGGCTGTCAGCGATATCGGGGCGTTGTTAACTTTACAGGTTTGTAATCTCATGGTCAACCCCTGGATAATGAACCTTGACCTTGACGTGTCGGTAATTAATTTTGAAGAGCTGGTCAGCTTCTACCCCCACAACTACTTCATCCGGGTGTGTGGGTTCATCACGGCCTTCGCCTCGTTCGAGAGATGTCTGTGTGTGGTGGTGCCGCTCAAGGTGAAGCAGATCATAACTAAACGCGTTTCCATAGCAACCAACATCTTCATTTTTCTCATTCTTTGTCTAAATTTAGTCCCTATCTACTACGTGTCATATTTAGATTGGGTGTTCATACCTGAATTGAATAAAACTAAACTGATAGGACTAAATCGGGAAAACCCGTACAACGTATTTGGAATTTCCTATTACGTCACGGATCTATTTATACCATACCTCTCCTTCTTCGTGATAATCATGTGTAACGTTATCATAGGTTTTCAGTTGAAAACCGGGCCGCTTGGAAAATGTCTGCTACGAACCAGAAAGAAAAGGAAAATCCTTGCTCCAGGAAAGAGATGAAACTAGTGATGATGCTGAGTGTGGTGTCGGCAATATTCATCGTGTGCCTGATACCACAATCGGCTGTACTCACCACCATACCGTTCGTGTGTGATCTAAGTATCTATGGAAAATACTTCGACGTGGCTCTGTTGTGTTTTAACATCTCCAATTTCACGGAATCCTTAAGCTCCAGTGTTAACATTGTCGTATATTACGTCATGAGCACCAGGTACAGAGAAACGCTTCACGCCTGGTTTAGTACAAATAAACGTACGGGTAGGCAGTGGCATAAATAGTGCGAGGGGGGGGGGGGGTGGGGCGGCAACTTGGGCGACGACCCTGGAGGGCGCCATAGGGGTAGAAAAAACAACTAAAAGCTTACGTTACGTTGAAGTATTGAATTTTGGACTGTCAAACAAGAACTTTAATATCTACAAAGCTTAACACACACTGAGTAAAGTGTTTTCTACATTGATTGGTGGCACTGAAATAAAAACAGTCTAGGGATAGTAACTGGTAAAAGCACAACCAAACTTTTCAACTTGGGGGGGGGGGGGAGCTTTTTATCGAACATGAAATTGTTTTTTAGAAGCGCAAAACTTATTCAAAACAAGTGTGCATCTTTTGTAAACACAAGAATTTAAATTGCAAAGTGTCTGTGATTGTAACGGAGAAAAAATAAAACTAATATTATCAAGGTTTTTATATTGTGTAGTTTATTTAGACTCCTGGTTCGTTGACTTACCTATTGTTGTGAAGCAGAACTAATATAATATGTTGGCATCCATATTAATACAACGTACATGTTTACAACATGGTTTTTTAAGGTTCATCTATGTTTGTAGAATATAATTGAGAGAAAATTGAGTTGCTACTAAATTCAATAATACCGACACTGAAGATATTTTAACGTTACAGCAAAGCTAGTTGATCTTCGGTATTAAAATATAAATGAGTCGTATTTAACTTTTTTCGACGTTCATTTTTAATCAGTGTATTTAATAATCTTCCATTTATATATAGTGTCTACAAAATAGTAAACAAGAGATATGACGGTATAACCTTCAATTTAAACTATTGCAACTTATAGAATCTAGCAGGCAGATACCTATTGCTAGAGTTTTAAAAAGGTAAGTGTTTTTATTTATTGAGCTAAAATTAATTAGTAGAAAGTTCGATTTTATAAACAGATGTTAAAGTAAACTTTCTGAACCTTATTAAAATGTAAAAGGCAGACAACGTTTAGACCATGATGACAACTAGAATGTCGCCAATTGTTGAGCTCTGATGACAAATAGAATGTTGTAATTTGTCGAAATATGATTAGTAGTATAAAGACCATTTTTAGCCTGATTATAATTTTAAAGTAGACAATATTTGGGTACTGAAGACAAGTAGATTTTATACAGTTTTTGAGCTCTGTTGAAAACAAAACCTATACAATTTTTTTTTAAACCAGTTGAAAACAAAAACCTAGACAATATTTGAACCCTGTTAAAAACAAAAACTTAGACAGTTTTTGAACCCTGTTGAAAACAAAAATCTAGACAATGTTTTGAACCTGTTGAAAACAAAAACTTAGACAGTTTTTGAACCCTGTTGAAAATAAAAACCTAGACATTTTTTCAAACCAGTTGAAAGCAAAAAACCTAGACGATTTTTTGAAACCAGTTGAAAACAAATACCTAGATAGTTTTTGAACGCTGCTGAAAACAAAAACCTAGACAGTTTTTTAACCCTGTTGAAAACAATAACCTATACAACTTTTTTTAACCTGTTGAAAACAAAAACTTAGACAGTTTTTGAACTCTGTTGAAAACAAAAACCTATTAAATTTTTTTTAACCTGTTGAAAACAAAAACTTAGACAGTTTTTTAACTCTGTTGAAAACAAAAACCTAGACAGTTTTTGAACCCTGTTGAAAACAAAAATCTAGACAATGTTTTGAACCTGTTGAAAACAAAAACTTAGACAGTTTTTGAACCCTGTTGAAAATAAAAACCTAGACATTTTTTCAAACCAGTTGAAAGCAAAAAACCTAGACGATTTTTTGAAACCAGTTGAAAACAAATACCTAGACAGTTTTTGAACCCTGTTGAAAACAAAAATCTAGACAATGTTTTGAACCTGTTGAAAACAAAAACTTAGACAGTTTTTGAACTCTGTTGAAAACAAAAACCTAGACAATTTTTGAACCCTGTTGAAAACAAAAACCTAGACAATTGTTTATTAAACCAGTTGAAAATAAAAACCTAGACGATTTTTTAAACCTGATCAAAACAAAAACTAGACAATTTTGTCACACATAAAAGGTAATTCTTATAATATTGCAAATGCTTTTATTAAATGGGTTCTTAGAGGCGTTTTCTCTAACCCTTCAAACACATTATGACTAAACATAAGCAAATAGGTATGTTTAAATTCATTGTGTGCTAACATAGTAACACCATGTGACGTTTGAGACATTGTTGTAACGTCATTGAAAAGATAACGGTTAGAACTATCTTTATAAACCATTGTCTTGATTAGGAACCACTTTTGGCTGCGCATTTAATTAATTAAGAATCAACATTAAATATTTAGATTTCATTGTTATTTTAGAATATTTCATCATTATAATTACGTAAACACTTTCCTTTTAAACCTTCGGTTTAAAAATACAGATTGAAAATTACTGTTCACAACTTTCACGAATGACGTCATTGTGTAAACAGAGACTATTTATTTAATTAAAAAGTTATATTTTAATTAGAATTCCGGGATGAGTATGCAGCCAAAGGGTAATTATGATTCACCAATTCACATGCAACATTAGTAACTATCAAATATTGTTAAAATAAAAGTATAGAATTTTCCAAACGTAATTAAATTTTCTATGTATTTTTTTACAGATAATTGTTTCACTAACGAATAAGAAACACGTTATATCTTTTAATTGATGAAATTATCGATGTGTAATTTCCACCGTGTGCGAGCAAATCGTGTTGACACTTCCATTAAAATTTAGAAAACAAAAAATATGTCATAGTTTATTTTAATAACATAACTCTACATATTAGACTTACTTTTTAGCAAAGAATTTGTATTTTCAAGTTGACAGAGTAACCTAGTATTACATTTAAAATGGCAAATATTTTTTAGTGTTAATACAACAAAAGGTGTAAGGTGTAAAGATAAGTTATACAGAGTTATCTTACATTTTATCTTAATTTTAATTTTTGAAGGATTTCTCCAACACAATCAAGTATTACATGTCAACATTATACTGCTAATAGGCCGTTGACTCCGATTTCATCCTGCTTTTCTTTCAAAATTTGCCTCTAACAAAGATCAAGTTTGCATTTGTTTGATTTAGGAGTTTTCTATCCGAGCTAATACTGCCTGGGGGTTCGAACTCAATCTTTTCGGTTTAACAACTATTAGCTCTACCGTCCGACCACACCGACTCAGCATAGAGATATGACCGAGTAAGTTTTGGAACTATGGCGGGAAACTTCACAGATTTGGTAATCTCGCAAGATGAACAATGGACAGGTCTGCTACAGCCTCTAGTTCTTGACATCGCTATTGGGTTGTGTGCCCTTGTCAACGAGGCTCTAGGAATTCTGGGTATCGTGGCCAACATTGTTAACATTCTCGTGTTCTACAGACAAGGCTATGACGACAGTGTTAACATTACGTTAACAGCGCTGGCTGTCAGCGATATCGGGGCGTTGTTAACTTTACAGGTGTGTAATCTCATGGTCAACCCCTGGCTAATGAACCTTGACCTTGACGTGTCGGTCATTAATTTTGAAGAGCTGGTCAGCTTCTACCCCCACAACTACTTCATCCGTGTGTGTGGGTTCATCACGGCCTTCGCCTCGTTCGAGAGATGTCTGTGTGTGGTGGCGCCACTCAAGGTCAAACAGATTATAACTAAACGCGTTTCCATAGCAACCAACATCTTCATATTTCTCATTCTTTGTCTAAATTTAGTCCCGATTTACTACGTGTCATATTTAGATTGGGTGTTCATACCTGAATTGAATAAAACTAAACTGATAGGACTAGATCGGGAAAACCCGTACAACGTGTTTGGAATTTCCTATTACGTCACAGATCTATTTATACCGCACCTCTCCTTCTTCGTGATAATCATGTGTAACTTTATCATAGGGATACAGTTAAAAAAACGGGCCGCTTGGAAAATGTCTGCTACGAACCAGAAAGAAAAGGAAAATCCTTTCTCCAGGAAAGAGATGAAACTAGTGATGATGCTAAGTGTGGTCTCGGCAATTTTCATCGTGTGCTTGATTCCACAATCGGCTGTACTCACCACCATCGCGTTTGTGTGTGATCTAAGTATCTATGGCAGATACTTCGACGTGGCTCTATTGTGTTTTAACATCTCCAACTTCACGGAGTCCTTAAGCTCCAGTGTAAACATTGTCGTCTATTACGTCATGAGCACCAGGTACAGAGAAACGCTTCACGCCTGGTTTAGTACAAATAAACGTACAGGTATGCAATGGCGTAACTAGGGGGATGGCGGGTGGGGCGGCAACCTGGGCGACGAATCTAATACAATCGTATACATATAAAACTCTACAAAGCTGTACGCACTGATTTAAATGTTTTACTACATCAATTCTATGGCACTAAAATAACTCGTGTTCTGGAACAGCGACTGGTAAAATGTAGCACCAAACTTTTAAAATTTTGAGGGGGGGGGGGGGGGTACACAAACATAAATTGCTAAAACATAAATAGGCGGAATGGCGCTAACAAATTTTGATAAATCGTTCCAATCGCCGGAATAGGTCGCCATTCCTCTAAAGGTAGGAAGACGCAAATTATAAAATCTAAATATGTAGGGCCTGGCACAGATTGACGTAGGTGAAACAAAACAAGTTAATTAAAAAGTGACATTTAAGCGCAATTTCCCTATGTTATCTAAAAATAGCTCTGTCGTAGCGTAAATCAAGAGCAGGGTTAGTAAAACCATTGGTTAGTTATTAAAACGTTTTTTATTAATTTTTTTTTCAGTATTTTACATGTTTTATTTACAATAGAGTTACATGACTAAAAACCATTGCGCGCCTACTGAATGTGATGACGCAGCCATTGAACGTGATGGCGCAGCTATTGAACGTGATGGCGCAGCTATTGAACGTGATGACGCGTGTGGTGTGGTTGGATAAATATGCTTACTAATTCGGTCCAAATTTTAATTAATTCAAAAAAAAATTTTGTGACCGAACGAAAGGATATTTTTGAAAACTTTCTTCGGCAATATTGTTCTAAATTATGGCAGGAATCGATTGGTAAATGTTTCAAGTCGCTAAGTGGTCTGGTTGCCGAGATATAGGCCAAAAACTGCATTTGTTCGAGGTTTTTTGGCTTTTCCTGGAATTCCATGAAAGAAACCCGTAATTTTTATGGCCTATGTTCATCCTCGTAACTTGCTTAACATACTTGCTTTTGGAACTAGTCATCGATATTGCTTCGTTGAGGAGGAGATACGACTTAAAGCTGCGGACACACATCCATCCATCCATCCATCCATTCATTCATACATTCATACATCCAGAAATGACGGGTTAATAAACGCAATTCTCCAGAATGGAAATTGTGCTAAAAATGACATCACTACGCCTCACACGCCCATATAACAGAAACAGGTGCACGCTATATCATTGTAGATTAATTTAATGCAACCTACATACTTATACTTTTCTGTAAAGTGCCCTTTCAAACCTTGCGATCCAGGGTTCAGGTGAAGTAGAGTTCACATGTTATTTTGGCAAATGAAGTGATAGTGTGGTTAGAGCTATCCTCAGTCGGATTTTATTGACCTAACGTGAGTCATGTACCCATCAGAGCTGGGTGAGCTCGAGACGTATCAGTTGTCAATCGAAAGTTCTATGGTTTGACCTCACAATCCCCATTTTCTATAGTAATTCAGTTTGTTTTAATAGGGATATGCTGAAAACATTTTTTTTACTAGTTGTTTAGTCTGAAGTTACTGAAGAACATAATTTGTGCTTTATTTTTTTACTTTTTTAGAAACACAAATGTATTTAAATCAAATGTTTAAATTGCAAAGATGCTGTGATTATAACGGAGAGAAATAAAATTTATAAGATCAAGATTTTATAGTGTGAATTTTATTTTTACTCCTGCTTTTTAATGGGGGGGGGAGGGGGTGGGGGGGGGGGGCGGACACTGGTAAAAGTATATGTTTTCTATATACATTCCATTTCGTTCGGGGGCAGTAGACTTTCTTCGGTGCTCGCCTCTGGAAGAAACTCTTTTTGCAATATTGTTTTTGAAATTGATGTATGTTTGTAGAATGTAGTTGATAGAAAAATGAGTTGCTACTAAATCCAATAATACAGACATAGAAAGTGTTTTAACGTTGACAGTAATTCTAGTTGATCTTCGGTATTAAAATATAAATGAGCTCTCGTACTTTGGTAAGAGAAGTTTACAAAGAATAATTTTCAGTCAGTGTTCCTTTTTAATAGTCGAATTGAACTATGATCGACGTTCAATCTTAAACAGTGTATCTGATATGTTTGCACATAGGCTCTATCAGATAGTAAGCAAAAGATCTGACACTATATCCATCTGTTTAAACAATTTAACCTTGTTAGAATCTAGGAGACAGATACCTATTGGTACTGTTTAAAAAAAATATTTTTTTATTTATTGAGGTAAAATTAATTATCAAAATAATTCGATAAAAATATAAGATGTTCAGGTAAACTTTCTGAACTCTATTAAATGTTGGAATGTAGACGACGTTTGAACACTGATGACAACTAGAATGTTTCCAATTGTTGAACACGACGACAACTAGAATGTTGCCATTTGTTGAACCCTGATTACAAGTCGTATAAAGACAAATTTTAGCCCAGATGATGACTTTAATGCAGACAATGATTGGGTACTAAGGACAAGTAGATTGTAGACACTTTTTGAACCCTATTGAAAACAAAAGACTAGAAAAGTTTTAAACCCTGTTGAAAACAAAAACCTACACATTTTAAAAACCCGTTGAAAACAAAAACCTAGACACAATTTTTTAAAACTGTTGAAAACAAAAACGAACACATTTTTAAAACCTATTGAAAACAAAAACCTACACATCTTTTAACCCTGGTGCCAACTACAAATTTGATCAGTGACGACAAGCAGAATGTAGGTAATTTTTAAACATTGTTAACAACAAAAACTTAGACATTTTTAACACCAATGACAACTAAAATGTATACATGTTTTTTTTCAAAAACGAAAACAGCTGGCTAGAATAAAGACAATGTTTTAACCATGATGGTAACATCAATGCTGACAACATCTGAGCACTGGTGACATCCAGAAGTGTAGACAATGTTTAACCAAGTTTTAACCAAGTACTGGTGACATCTAGAGTGTATTCCAATTTTTAACCATGATGGTAACATCTGAGTTCTGGTGACATCTAGAGTGTAGACGCTTTTGAGCCCTACTGATGTCACCTTAACCAATGTAGGACGTGCTAAAGACCAAAATTATCTTTAATATATACCAACCAGAGTTTCTTCCAGGCATCTCTTCGGGGGGGGGGGGGAGGGAAGAAAGTCTACCGCCCCCCCCCCCCCGAATGAAATGAAATTTATATAGAAAATATATACTTTTAACAGCGTCCGCCCCCCCCCCCCCCCCCCCGAAAGTTTCAAGTGCCCCCCCCCCCCCCCCGAAGAAAAAAGTCTGGAAGAAACACTGATACCAACCTACCCTTCTATGCGTCTAGTGTTTTGTTTAACGGCCGTTTAATAACGGCAGTACAGAAAACTGTATAGGTCAGTAAAGATTATTAGTTTGAAAAAAGTAATGTACCAGAGATATATGAAATATTAATACTAACAAGACCGTGAAGTTCTCTACCATTAAGAAACTACATATAGATTTCCTACTCACTGGGCAATCAACCTATATAGATTACGCACATCATCCAAATATTACAATGCTCAACACACTTTCAAGTCTCACCCCACCCCTTCCTGGAAAACAAATATCTGAAAGAAACCTTGGGTTTGGGAAAAAAAAAGTCTGATTTGATATGTGCACGATAATGAAACAGCTACTATTGTAATCAACGGTGCTGGAACGGAAGCTATGACTAGATGTAGAAACACAACTTTTTATGCTCGTGTCCTGATTAATAAGAATAATGACTAGATGACAACCTATAGCACAATGGTCAAGGAAGAATGTATGTAAACATGAAAACATAAAACGGCAGGTTTAATATATGTAAAAATCAAAACATAAAACGGCAGTTTTAATATATGTAAAAACGAAAACATACAGTAGTATGTTTAATATATGTAAAAACGAAAATATGCCTAAGTGAAAACTAATTACAGTAAAGAAAAATCTACAAAAATAAAAACCCACAACAGTAGAGTTAAATATCTTTAAAAAACGCACAAAAATTGGATCAATATCAGTAACAATAAAAACACACAACGGTTCGGTTAATATCAGTAACAATGAAAACGCATAACAGCTAGGTTAATATCAGTAACAATGAAAACACACAACAGTTATGTTAATATCAGTAACAATGAAAACACACAACAGTTAGGATAATACCAGTGACAATGAAAACACACTACAGTTAGGTTAATATCAGTAACAATGAAAACACACTACAGTTAGGTTAATATCAGTAACAATGAAAACACACAACAGTAAGGTTAATATCAGTAACAATGAAAAAACACAACAGTGAGGTTAATTTTAGTAACAACGAAAAAACACAACAGTTAGGTTAATATCAATAACAATGAAAACACACAACAGTTAGGTTAATATCAGTAACAATGAAAACACACAACAGTAAGGTTAATATCAGTAACAATGAAAAAACACAACAGTGAGGTTAATTTTAGTAACAACGAAAAAACACAACAGTTAGGTTAATATCAATAACAATGAAAACACACAACAGTTAGGTTAATATCAGTAACAATTAAAACACACAACAGTAAGGTTAATATCAGTAACAATGAAAACACACAACAGTAAGGTTAATATCAGTAACAATGAAAAAACACAACAGTGAGGTTAATATCAGTAACAATGAAAAAACACAACAGTTAGGTTAATATCAGTAACAATGAAAAAACACAACAGTGAGGTTAATATCAGTAACAATGAAAAAACACAACAGTTAGGTTAATATCAGTAACAATGAAAAAACACAACAGTTAGGTTAATATCAGTAACAATGAAAAAACACAGTTAGAAATAATATAGTTAGAAATAATATAGGGTATTTCAAATGTAACTAGTTATTGCTTTGTAACGTTTGTAATTATATTCATTTACTAAAAGAAAAAACACAATTTTTTAAGGTTTAAAATAATTTATTTTATGTGACTCATAACTAAACACGTGTAGTATTATTTAAAGTGATTCATCTGATAGAATTATTTCTACAATTGCATGGCTTAACGACATAATTGATATACACATCAATAAAATAATTCAAATGCTTGTAGAAACTTAAAATTTTCAAGGTGTTTTTTTTAATATTTCAACTCTGCACACTATCTTGCAGCGTACCCCTAGGTCAGGGGTCTCCAAACTTTTCAGTCCGAGGGCCGCATTAACTATCAAATTTCAGTTCGGGGGCCAGTTTCTTCCCGGCTTGTCTTTGATTTTTCTGGGCAAAGTTCCTCAGCCATCACCAACAAACGTTTTTTCCGTGGACAAAAAGATCTCTGCGGGCCGGATGAGAGGACCTCGCGGGCCGCATCCGGCCCGCGGGCCGTAGTTTGGAGACCCCTGCCCTAGGTGATAAGGAAATTACATTTTAAAACCTATATTCTAGCAAGAGATAACGTTAATATTATACCGTTCGGATACATTTATATTAAAATAAGAATTTTTTTGTTATATTTATTCTAAAATATATATAAACTAGGAGAACGATCGGTTTGTAAATGTTTATGTAATTTCAAAAAAAATAATTTGTGACCGAACGAAAGGATATTTTTGGAAACTTTCTTCGGCAATATTGTTCTAAATTATGGCAGGACTCGATTGGTAAATGTTTCAAGTGGTCTGGTTGCCGAGATATGGGCTAAAAACTGTATTTTTTTCGAGGTATTTTGGCTTTTCCGGGAAATCCAGGAAGGAATTCCGGGATTTTTTTGGGCCCAAGTTCATCCTCGGAACTTGCTTAACATATTTGCTTTTGGAACTAGTCCTCAATATTGCTTCGTTGAGGAGGAGATACGACTTAAAGCTGCGGACACGCTGCGGACACACATCCATCCAGAAGTGACGAGTTAATAATCGCAATCCCCCAGTATGGAAATTGCGCTAAAAATGTAGGCCTATATAAGTATCATCTTTGCTAAAACACTCCAGATATATCAATGTTTATCAGGCTGTCAGATGACACATCAAATGGTTTTCAATTAATAGTACATAAGCTTCAAACAACATTACAATAGTACACTTTAAATGAGTGATTTTATGTGATACATTTCTAGAACATATAGGCCTACTAGATGTATCTCGGTCATGGCTTATAAATGACGTTTTTTTTTCTTTATCCACAAAAAGATTTTCATTTTTAACAGCTACAAAGCGGGTCGATACTTCGTATATGTATAATGAGTAAGTAGAAAACGTAATTAATGAAAGGAAGCCTAATGTTTCTCTGTGGCACGTTCTGTCAGTCGTGTATAATTAGCTATCGATTTTCGTTGCGTTTACGAAGGCATAGGTGTAATTTTCTTAATTAACGCATACCCTTCAATTTAAATTGTTAAATATTCGCAAATAAGTAAAGAAAGATTTTATTTTTAAAAACATCTGCAATTTTAAATTTCCGTTCGGTTTTGAAAATTTCGCTATAATTTAGTATCGATCGATTATTTCTATTTATTTTTTTTAATTAAAAACGACAATTAAAAAATTCAATGAAAAATCTTATTACAAAATGTAAGTAACTTCGGGTCATGGAACACATCTGTTTTTCTTAACATCTGGGAAAAAAGAGAATTATATTTCACGGTTGACTTTAACCTAAAGCTTCACAATTTGCATGAATATACAGGAAGTAAATATTGTAAATAATATAGAGGTCTATTTTTATTGCTACATAAATGTTATATTCTTTTTTAATAAAATTAGTCAGACTGCAATGATAAATCCTGCTAGTTCTAGAATCAGTCAAAGAACACTATACACCAATGGCCAGTAACTTGACTGTATTACTTAAGTCAGGAGACCTCCCTGTGGCAGGCTTACTGCCGCCTGTAGTCCTGCAGGTGGTCATGGGGTTGTGCGCTGTTGTCAACGAGGCTCTAGGAATTCTGGGTATCGTGGCCAACATTGTTAACATTCTGGTGTTCTACAGGCAAGGCTACGACGACAGTGTTAACATTACGTTAACAGCGCTGGCTGTCAGCGATATCGGGTCGTTGTTAACATTGCAGATATTTAACATCATGATCAACCCGTGGTTCATGACGCTGGATATTGACGTCTACGTCATCACTTTTGTGGAGCTGGTCAGCTTCTACCCCCACAACTACTTCATCCGTGTGTGTGGGTTCATCACGGCCTTCGCCTCGTTCGAGAGATGTCTGTGTGTGGTGGTGCCACTCAAGGTCAAGCAGATCATAACTAAACGCGTTTCCATAGCAACCAACATCTTCATATTTCTGTTTCTCTGTCTGAATTTGGTTCCAATCTATTACGTCACGTACTTAGGATGGACATTTATGCCAATATTTAACAAAACAATCTTAATAGGAATGAATAAAATGGACCCTTATATTGTATTCGGTATCTCCTATTACTTTACCGATCTATTTATTCCCTATTTCTCATTCTTCGTCATCATACTTTGCAATATAATAATCGGAATACAACTCAACAGAAGAGCCTTATGGAGAAGTTCAATAGCAACAACGTCAAAAGCTACAAGTGAATCGTTCCCAAGTAAAGAGAAGAAGCTGGTTCTGATGCTTCAACTGGTGGCTGTTGTGTTCATCGTGTGCCTGATCCCCCAGTCAGCGGTTCTCACAACCATCAGCTTCGTCCCAGAGTTGAGCATCTTAGGCAACTACTTCGACGTGGCCTTGTTGTGTACGTTCATCTCCAACTTCACCGAGACTATCACCTCCAGCGTCAACCTCATCATTTATTACAAGATGAGCAGCCGCTACAGGAACACGTTCCATGCTAGTTTTGGTGGTGTTTTTAGAGCAGAAATTAAGGCTGGTCTCAAGAGTAGAAATAATTACTCTTCTAAAAGTGTGCAATAATCAGACATAGAAACCCAAATAATGTACTCACTATTTGGGTCACGTGATGTAGCAAGTACAGAAACACGTTCCATTGTAGTTTTCAAGCATTTTTAGAACAGAAAGTAAGAATAGAAAGAATTGTATCTAAAATATTTTCGCAGCTAAAAAAAACCATTAATGAAATACTTTTTAAGCTGTATTACAAACTAAACCATAGTTTGTTTTGTTTTTTTAAATGTAGAAATATTGAACTTTATGTATCGTTCTGTAGATTTTACAAATAAAATACCAAGTTTAGATACGTTTATCGCATAAACCCGATAGACTTTTATATCTTTGATACTGTAGTTTTGATTTAAATATTAAACGTTTATTATGTGTGTCTTCAACATAAATAGTTTACTTTTAATTTTAATTGTTAATTCACGCATGCATTATATTTATAGTTTATTACAAATAGTTTACTAATATTCTCAAATTTCAGCGAAATATAATTTTAAATAGCTTAGTCACAATGTAATTTCTCTGTAAGCATTGTTACCACATACCTGTCTAGTAGCCAGTGGCGTCGCTATGTCGGGTGTTACCCGATGCGGAACCACATGATATCACCCCCCCCCCTTTTTTTCTCTATAAATTTTGCAGTTGGTGTCGACCCCCCCCCCCCCCCCCCTATTCTCGTCCGCGGTAACAGCTTTAAAGTGTTCACATTTAATACAAATTATGTTAATCTACAGTCGGTTGTCAATACAGCTGGGTGTAGCATTGTTTTATTTATATTTTGCATGTTTACGTCATGGTCTCACCCCTTCCCCTCTTGTCTGGAAGGTCATTATGTTGGCCTACTTAAAATACATTTTAAAATTTATCTCTAGTTAACCATTTATTGAACTGGCAAATACATATTTATTCTACGTATCTCGCGATTTTTTTGTCCTGGTGTCACCCCTTAATTGTGTTACCCGGTGCGGTCCGCACCCCCGCCCCCGCCTAGCGACGCCTGCTCGTAGCTTCAAGTTAACTTACACTAGAACCAACGCAAATATGCATAAGTGTTTGTAAAATGTCCCCAGAAATTAGTCTATATCTTTATGAAAAGTCAGTATTACGTATGGAATCAGAAATATAAAAGATATACAATTATAATTCAATTGTGGAGTCTTATTAGTAAACTTTGGCTTCTAAAATTATATTTTTTTTTCTACTATTAAAAGTAACTTGCCAGATTATTGGATGTGGTGCCAATAAAATCCTACGATATCTCAACTGAAACGTTAAACCGAATTCACTTAGGAAGTTGATAGTACATAATATGCAGAATGATCGAATTTTTTAGACTTTTTCAGTTTAATTGATCTTCTCAAACCCATATTTAAAAAATGTGATGAGCTTGAAGTAGAACAGAGAGCAATGGTAAGACTGTATACTGTATATATAAGATATAAGACTGTATACTTAAACTAGATAAGTCGTTTATAAATCTTTAAAACAAAAGGTCATAGTCTTTACTTATGTTTTACCTTCGTGGTAGGCGCCTTAAAGACCTACCACATCTTCAACGTGTTAACAGTCTAAAGCTCATGTTTTATATACGGAGTAAAACTCAATGAGTAATTAATGAGTTAAGAGAAGATATTTATTTAGAAACACTATTCAACTACAGACAGCTACCCTTTAACAACATGGATCGTCTAGTATAAGTCTAGTACAGAAGTCGGCAACCTTTTGAGACGGAAGAGCCGAAAGATACAATTTACAAAATCTCCCAGTTTTTAAAGAGCCATTTTGTTTTCAATATTATGGCATTTTATTAGGATTGGGTCAATGCATTTAAAATACATGGGTTTAATCATGAAATAATATTTTATTCATATAAAAACATACGCGAGTTTCGCACAAAACATAATTAAGTATTTAACTAGCTCTGCTAGGATAACAAAATCAAATTAAATATAAATATAGCACTATTTCTTCCCAATTTAGACGCTAATCACTAAAAAACCATGTCACTCTAGCAAATTAATGCACACTGACACATAAGAAAATGCCTTCTGGATAAATTAAAATAAATAAAATTGAAAATATTCGAGTACAAATGTGCACTTCGGTAATGCAAAGCATGGAACTACTGCCACGGGAATGGCCACATCACAGTTGTTGTTGGGCTGGGCCTAGAATACTACCCTAGTAACTGCTAGCTGTATATACGCCCTACTCCAAAATTTATTTTATCTTGTTTAACGTTGTTTTATTACTGTATAATTTTTTTATGAATTATGAAAATAAAATAATAAAATCATTATGGAACTGGCGAGCCGCGTCCTGACATTAAAAGAGCCCCATACGGCTCGCGAGCCGCAGGTTGCCGACCCCCTGGTTTAGTTACTAGTATCATGAGTTCGAATAAGTAAAAGTTTAACAGTTTACTTTGAAACAAAAACATCAATTTCATTTGTCAGCTTCCTCAATTCTACAAATTAAGTATTTTAATCAGCTAATAGTTTCGTATCTCAAATTATATTTAAAGATACATTAAAAATTGATTATATCTAAAGATTACACGCATTAACGTTTACAACTGTTTATTATTCGTGCGTATTGAAATCAAAAAGTCTAAAATATGCGTTAGTACTTTATCATTATTTATTTTCTTTGATTTCTAGTATCAAATTGTTGGGTTGCGTCCCTTGTTGATTTGATTTTCAGACGGAAAAATAACAATCCAAATTTAATATTAAATTTAAAAATAATATATCTTTATATTACATAATCTTTATTTATCTTTAGTTTAAAACATTAAGGTGAAATCTATCAAACTTTCTCCCTAGAAAACAGTAGATAGAAAAATGCTCTTGATTGAAAGCATGTATAACTATTTTTATATGGCCCAGTCATGTCATATTGTAGTGTATGTTATACTTGTCCCGAATTCTTCCACTGATGCATGACTATGCCCATCATTCTACATATGATGACTCTTGTAGATTTACATTGAGTGCTATTTCTTTCACTCAAAGATGTGTATTTTTTGCAAAGTATGAGCTCCATTTCTGAAAAAAACAGATTACAAGTCTGGAGGGGAGAGAGTGGGGTATGAAAACCTGAAAAAGGTGGAGGGGGGGGCGGGGGCGGAGAAATGTGTGGGCCATCTGAATGTACAAAATGATGTTAGTTTGATTAGGATCAAGGATCGGTAAGGTTTACATGACATGGGGTGACTACTGACATCAGAATGGTGTACATGACATGGGGGTGACTGCTGAAATTAGAATGGTGTACATGACATGGGGGTGACTGCTGATATTAGAATGGTGTACATGACATGGGGGTGACTGCTGAAATTAGAATGGTGTACATGACATGGGGGTGACTGCTGATATTAGAATGGTGTACATGACATGGGGGTGACTGCTGAAATTAGAATGGTGTACATGACATGGGGGTGACTGCTGAAATTAGAATGGTGTACATGACATGGGGGTGACTGCTGAAATCAGAATGGTGTACATGACATGGGGGTGACTGCTGAAATTAGAATGGTGTACATGATTTGGGGGTGACTACTGAAATCAGAATGGTGTACATGACATGAGTGTATGATTGCTGAAAAGAGAGAGTTCAGGTAAAACATAAAGAAAAATATATCCCAGCTACTACATCTACGCCAGTAATTTTTAATACTTTTGTTTTCTTTTTTTTTAGTTCTTTTTTAATTAATTAATATATTCAAATCTAAAAAAAATGTCAAAAAAAGTATGTGCATAGGCAAAGTATCATGTTAATAGTTTAAACACATAGTTGACACCACAAAAAAGTTTGGGTTATGAAGTATAAGTTGGCCTTTCTTTGCTGAAGGCGATTTTTTTTATATTTAAAAATATTTTTACAAATTTAAAACTTTTTTTTTGCCTCATACATGTAATTTACAGCGTCAGTTTACCTTTCAATGGTCGCTTTAGTATTACGATTTTCAGTATCAGCCCTTGAGTACTGATACAAATTTACAATAGTAATACTTCCTTCTGACATGTAGGCCTACTTTCATTTAATTGAGATGGTTTACTTAATTGTGCAGGACACCCAATTAACTGACCCCAGGTGCTAAGAAAGCCGCTGGGAAACTCTGGGTGGCAAACAGAACCGCCTTACTGTCAAGGGGCCGCTCTCCGAACTAAATAGAAAAAAATTATAATGCAGAAAACTTTGCACGAGTTAGAGTTTCTTTCTGGCTTCTCTTCGAGGGGGGGGGAGGGAGACACTGCTTCTTATGTGTGGGGTTGTGATAGGGGTCAGTAGAGGTTTGAATTATATTAAACGACTTCCCAATGTTTCTTGGCGATTGGATCATTTTTGTATTAAGGCATAAAGGACAGGGAGACAGACAAACACAAACCTTTATTAGCGGCATAGTGATGATTAGAGATACATTAGATCAACAAACACATTGTGATTAAGGTTAAAGCTAGAGAAACATTGACACATTTTCGACTGAGATCGCTGTAAAAACACTGTCCAAGGCTTTTATTTTTTTTTAAATTGGCTCAATTGTAATTCATTGTAATCATGGATGGATTTGTACAACCCCCCCCCCCTCCCCAGTAAGAAAGGTTTGGGGGGCCTTTTTGGGGATTTTTTAAATTACTTCTACAGTAGAAAAGAAACTGGATTTCCGTTTTCTTTTTAAAATTATTTTTATAATACAAATACTAACATTCCAATGTAAAAGTTTTTAAAAATTTAAAGAGGGAAAAGGGACCCTATTTCCCTTGGGACCCTATGCCTTGCTTACGCTAGCTTTACGGTAGCTACGCCACTGTACCACAGCCTTGTAAACCAAAACCCATTAAAAAATTGTTGTCAAATAACTGTTTTCAACTTTAAAACAATGATTTTATAATGCAGCTCGGTTTTCTTAAATACAAGCATTTTAACAAACGAAACAAAAAAAAACAATATGATATTTGATTTCTAGATTTTATTATACACGAAATACTCAAAGCTCAAAATAAAGACAGACATCAATCGTAATGTATAAGTAACAACGCAATTAATTTTTTTTTGCATACATCTGGGTATTGTAGCGTGGTTAGATGGTAGCAGAGTTTCTTCCAGGCATCTTTTCGGGGGGGCTTCGCCCCCCCGAAAAATTTTTACCGCCCCCCCGAACGAAATGAAATTTATATAATTTATATAGAAAATATATACTTTTAACAGTGTCCGCCCCCCCGAAGAAAGTTTACCGCCCCCCCGAAGATTTCAAGTGCCCCCCCGGAGAAAAGAGTCTGGAAGAAACACTGGATGGTAGTGCGTGAGACAGCTAGTACTAAGGTCTAGAGTTCGGATCAGCGATAGACGTCCATGAGGGCATTCCTGAGCCAACCAAGCTCTGATAATTGCTGACTCGCTGGGTAATCTGCTGACCATCTAGCCGTTTATTTCACGTCATAGAAAGGAACGTACACGGTTTCTTTCTGAATTTTTTTTTTACTCGGTGGGGGTACTTGAAACTTGTGAAGGAAAGTATTTGAAACTTTCCAGGGAAAGGGGAGAGAATAGTTAAAATCTTATGTTTTTTTTATAAAAATGTAATATTGTTTTTATTTCTTCTGAGGGTGGAAGGGGTGGGTGAGGGGGGGGGGTAGGTCCTGCTCCGAGTATATACACGAAAGAAACACTGTTTATGAACATTTGGACAATAAAACAGCAACTAGATATAGGGATGTTTTCTTACTGTTTAGTACTCTAGATCATACTAGTAAACAAAGGCGTAACATACTATATAATGTTTAGTCTGGTGATCGCATCATTGGGTGAATGGAAAATATACGGAATGTCAATACCTAGTACTAATAATGACTAATTGGTAAAGAGATTCAAAGCAGTACGATATGAATTGGAGAATATTGAGTTTTGCTTGAACGTAGAATGTTGTATGCTTAATGTTTATCTTAACAAGGGTTTATATTACTTTTTTATCCACAAGCATGTGTGAAAAGGCCACTTATTCGATAATACGTTACAAATTGTTTAATATTAATGAAAACTGATTAACAGACTATGTTTGATGTGTTTAAAAATAAACGTCAGAAGAAATGTCAGTGTCATAATTGAACATAAAGGTTTATTTAATTGTTTTATGTTTGATTTGTCGTAAAATTTTAATGTATGAATGTTGTTTGACATAAATCATTTGTAACTAAACATACCATAATTTATCTAGTTTGGTATAAAAAAGTTAACAATTAAAACACGTCATTTGCTAGTTGTAATTTCTCGGAAAAAGAATTTTTTAAATATATTTTTGAAGTTCCTCTACATTTATAGTTTGCAAATAATCTTATAAGACATTTTCTAGAATATGAACACAGTTTGTATATTCGAATTAATTATTTAATAATTCCAATAAGTAGGCCTATATATTTACGAATAAAAAATATTATACTTGTATAAAGTCTATTGTTTTCTCACGTTCTTATCGAAATAAGTGTGTATCGTGTCCCTGTACCTAGTGCTCATCTTGTAGTAGACCAGCAGGTTGACGCTAGAGCTCACGGTCTCCGTGAAGTTAGAAATGTTGTAACACAAGAGTGCCACGTCGAAATACTCGCCGTACATGCTGATCTCTGGCACCAAACTGACCGTGGTCAGTACAGCTGACTGGGGAATCAGGCAGACGATGAAAATGGTAGCAACAACAGTCAGCATTAGGACAAGTTTTTTCTCTTTGTTGGAGACAACTTCTCCTGGTTTGACTTTGTTGCCGGTCACAGATCTTTTCCAAGCGGCTCTTCTGTTGAGTTGTATGGCGACAATCACGTTACACACTATGATCACAAAGAAGGAGAAATATGGTACGAAAAGGTCGGTGAAATAGTACGAAATCCCATACACATTGTACGGGTTTTCCCGATCTATTCCTATCAGCTTGGTGATGTTTAACTCTGGGATGAACGTCCACGCGAAGTAGGTTAAATAATAAACAGGGACTAGATCCAGACAGAGAAACAGAAAAATGAAAATGTTAGTTGCTATGGAAACGCGTTTAGTTATGATCTGTTTGACCTTGAGCGGCACCACCACGCACAGACATCTCTCGAACGAGGCGAAGGCCGTGATGAACCCACACACCCGGATGAAGTAGTTGTGGGGGTAGAAGCTGACCAGCGAGACAAAGTCCACCTGGTTGAAGGAGAGGTCAAGGGTTAAAAACCACGGGTTGACCATGACATTGGTGATCTGTAGGGTCACTAGGGCCCCGATGTCACTGACAGCAAGCGCTGTTAACGTAATGTTAACACTGTCGTCATAGCCTTGTCTGTAGAATACGAGAATGTTAACAATGTTGGCCACGATACCCAGAATTCCAAAACCCTCGTTGACAAGGGCACACAACCCCATGACGGTGTTGAGGACTAAGGGAGGTAGCAGCCCTACTACGGGAAGTTCTTCAGACGTGGTTATGTCCGTGATGTTAAATGCCATAATTCGATTTTACTTTAATACCTATCTTTCACTTGGTTCGGCATGGATAGAAAATAAACAACATACGTTTATCAAGTTTATATTTAAAAACAAAAAAAAATGTCTATACGAATAAGTATACTATATCAAGATAGTGACTCTCCATGCTAAACCGTGTTTAAAAAACTATATATTAGATATCTTTTTGTTTTACAACTAAGAGAATAATGTGGAAACCGAAGTTCATTTTAGTTACCAATACACTATTCATTAATGATATTTAAATAAATAGACATCAGTTTTAAAAACTAACTCCAGTACGATTTTGAAATCCATTTCAAAAATTAAAAGTGGGATTTAAAAATTAAAAACAAAATCTGTAAAATAAATTATATTTAAATAATAATTAGCCGACTGGTTCATTAAAAGTAGAACCCTTTGTTTTAAAAATATGTCAGTCTCAAAGAAGTGAGGTGAATAATTACATATTAGATTTGTTATGTATAATTAATAATTTAGCTAAGAATTAATCATTGTCTTTTTGTTTTGGAGTCGGAGTAAATGTACTAACACGAAATGCGTGACAATTAAAATATTTTCACACCAAGACACAAAATATATTCTATAGATTGTTACAGTCGTTGCCATAATGGATTCATATTTACCCCTCATTGCCAGGCGCTACTAAGTCTTGTTAGCACACAGTTTAAAATAATTAAAACATTGATCTTCTGAAAATTAAATGGTTGGAAAAAAGGCAATTAAAAAGAAAATTATTTGATCAATACACGGTAAGGAAAAAAATAGATCAGTGATGACTTTACTTAACACAAAGTAAAGACGTTTTTTTGTGTTTTATCGTGAGTAAATAATTGAAAGCGTTAACAAACATAGCCAAATAACCTTACAAAAACGATGATATAAAAATATTGTATTGCATTAGGTTCCTATGTTATGGTTGATTAACGCTGATAATTTACAAAGTAGGCTACATTTAATAGATATCACGCGTGTAGCAATTAGATTTGATTCCAGCAGTGTTAAAGAGTGTTCAAAGTGTTAAAGAGTGTTCAGAGTGTTAGAGAGTTCTTGTAAACAAACAAGCGTGGAAAGACACCTAGGTTCTGACGGTAAAATATAGAGGGATGAAAGAATGAGGTACACATAAAAGGTTGTAAGATGAAAACACTCACACGTTAACGGACAATACACAAAAGCTTGCTAGATCTATTTGAAGTAATTTATTGTAAGGATGTTATGTGTTATTTGAGTAACTCGAGCGATTAAGTTTATCAATAAATTGTAATTTGGTGACGTGTTGATTGTACTGCTTTGTTTAATTTGTATTTCTTAATTATTCCTTATTATATTTTGTTTTACAAAAAAAAATTATCAATAAAGTGCAAAATGAGTGAAGCAATTTTTTTTAGAGATTTTGTTATTAATTTTGTAATTTAAGTTTTTTAAAAAATGAAACACAAAAATGCGTTTATTAAAGTACAAATCATCAGTCAGTACAAAACCAAAGCATAAAAACATATTTTAAAGAAATGTTTCCGAATAGGCAATATCATGATGATCGGCTCTTCAAGTTTTCAAACTTAAAAAAAAAAAAAAAAAAAAAAAAAAAAAAACACGTCACACCGCTATGGGGTTTTCTATTTGAGGTAATTTAATATTTGGACACAATCTAACCCACAAAACCTATGTCGGTAATGGTACAGTTTTTTCTCCGAAATCACACACATATGAGCGACTGTATTTTTATGTTTGTTCAATCTCTGAGCTGAAATTTCTCTTTTTTCTCAGGTCGCTATTTACTCGTTTCGCATTTTCTGATTGCATTTCTTTCTATAGGTGCAATTTCTGCGCGAGTATTTTCTGTGAGTAAAAGTTTCTGGAAACCGTAATTTTAATAGTCATTAAAACATATTCTGTGGTGTTAAAAATTGGATTTCGTAATCAATTAAAATAAACCGGGAGTGATCTCCCCTAAACTTTCTCGAATATTCTTATATAAAACAACAGGGGATGGGAACTCGGGCTATAGACATGATTTTTAATCCATTTTGAATACTTAAAGTTTTAAAAATAGAATAAAATCTAGTAGACAAAAGAATTGCACACCAAGTTAATGCCTAATAAAAAAGTGCATAATAGTGCGCAATATTATTAGTACTTTAAAAATTTACATTAGTTTTTTGAGAAATCGGAAGTAGCGTAAATTACTACTTCCGGTCAATGGAAATTACTCAAAATTTAACAGAAGGTAGAGAATTAGATCTTTTACTTACACGTTAAATTTCATTTATCTATCTGAAATAGTACTCAAGTTATAGGCTTTTGAAAAATTCAAAGTAGAAAAAATACCACTTCCGGTTATCGGAAATCGCTCAAAAGTTGATACGGATCTACGATTTTGATAAAATACTTATATATGAAATTTCTAACGGTACTCAAGTTATCGTGTTTACACACGGACAGACAGACAGTCAGACAGACAGACACACAGACATACGGACAGAATTGCAAAGCCCAGTTTTTCAGACTGGATTACGAATAAAACCTCTTAATTTTGATAAATCTGGATTGATAATTTTTGCCCGGTTAAAATAAGTCCTCTATACTTCGGATGTGATGAAGGACTGAGGTGTAATAAGGTGAAAATTGTTAAAATTTCAAGTGATTTTTGTGCACGATTACAATACTTTCTCTATACTTCGTATATACGAGAAAGTAAAAATGAGCTATTTACTTCCATTTCGTAATAATTAAAACAACCAAGGGACACAACCAAAAACGGGTTCTTAAAATCGATAAATAGAATAAAACTTGAAGTCTGCAATACAAAATAATGGTTTGGTTTTTAATCAATTACCAGTATACATATATTTTAACAGTTAAAGGAATATTTTGTGACCATCTAATAATTTAACCCTGCTGTTATTAAATTTCACAATATAATTAGTAGAATATGGCAGTATTAGATTTGAAAATGTAAAATGTTTACAAATGAAAAGCTTTTGTACATCATATAATGAAATTGAAGCGATAGCAAATTACAAATTTGCTATTTTAGTTATATAAAAACAAGCGGTTTCGTTATGTTTACTGAACTAGTGTTATCTTGAAGAATGTCATTTATTGTTTTGTCGACAGCCTCCAAATTTTCTTGATTCCCATCTTTTTGAGACCCTGGTACTATGGAATTTCTGATCGCTATTGTCTCCATGGCTTCGGCCTCTATGGTGGTTTCTGTTACGCTTTCGTTAACTTGCTGTGATGCTGCAGTAGTATGATGTGCTTCAGTTTGGCCATCTACTCCAAAGGCATCTTCTACCTCTCTATGCCTTGCTTCTCTAAGCATTTCATTTTGTCTTTCTCCGTCAACATCATAACTGTCCCAATGCTTTAAAAAATTTCTATTGTTACTTAGATGCTCCCTAACTTATTCTTTATCATTTGCATACCAAGGCTCAATTGCCCTGTACTGTCCATCTACTAGCTGGACGCCGTCAAGAGCGCGAGTCCTCAAATGCTCACACATTTTAGGCAGGTGCCTGTCTGTGTTGCAGTGGCAACATTGCACCCTCCTCCCATTAAGGATTATAAGGACTCTGCTCTCCTCGTTGGCCTCATTTGTAAGTATAATATAGTGTGGCACACTCTCCACATCTTCTTTCTCCAGAGAGATGGTGAATTGGACCGCATTTGATTGGTCCATTCTCTTAAATGTTGGTGTTGAGTCCTGACTGCTTATAGATTTCAGAATCGCCATTATATCATCGTCGCTTGTCTTGGAAGGCAGCCATTTCAGCATGCCCCTTTGCCCAGATTTATCGGCGTGGGTTATTGATATTCTCTGCACTTTGTATCTGGATGTTACCCCAGGTGGCAAATCTCTGTGAAATTCTTTTAGGTGCATTTTCTCATATAGTTCCTTTGATCTAATGGTGACATACCATTTACGCAGTGTCCCATAGCTATACAGACCCTCAAATTCAGCTGGTGATAGGCTACATAACATACATAGCTCTCTTTTTAGTTCGTCAGCTGTGAGTGTAGCTAAAGAAAAACCCTCTTCTATGAAAATCTCTAGAGTTTTTGGTGCATGTCCTGCCATGCCAAACTTAGGCAGGAATAGCCGTTTGATGTATTTTTCCGAAGAAAATTAAAAGCTCACAAAGTATATCAGCAACAAAGGTATCAGGTCAACTGTCATATAGTCAAGCAATCAGTTCAAGTAAAAATCAATTACCTACAGTAAAGCCACCTCAAAGGGTCGTGACCAGTGCCCAACGGGATAGCAAACCAGCGGCTGGAAAGTTTGGCGTTAAAAGACCACCACCATCCAGCCCTCCAGAAACAGATGTTCGAAAGAAAACCCCAAATAATTCATGCTAACTCTGGCAACATTGAACATCAGGGGGGCTAGGGACAAACACATTATATAAAAAACATAATAAATAAACACAATATTGACATCCTACTTTTACAGGAAATTAACATTTGAACTACAGAAGAAGCAAATAAACTAGATGCATAATTAATATCGACAGTCTCAAGCTAAACATCACTCAATCAGCCCTCAAGTAAATTAACATTAGAACAGTCTTCTGTTTCCCAGGTTTTTAAAAGTGCACAACCTGAATGGTAGAAAGAGATACACACCTCACCCCCCCCCCCCCCCACACACACAAACACACACACTTCCCCCCACTCAACCGGACTGGCGGATTTTTCAAGGTAGCGTGACCTCTTTGCCAAAGGTCAATTTTATGTCATGGAAAGTTTTGGAATGATGGATCAGAATGTGTACTGCAGAGACACTTCTCCCAAGGTCGTTTCTATTTCTGTCCATGGGCGGCCACAATGTGAACTTTTGACTCCTCAGCTAAGGACAAAGCACAGTAAACTAAGCAGTCAAGAGAAACCTAGTTTGCACAAGAAAATAAGGGGTGTCCTCCAGCCGCCTCGGCAGTAATATATGGTTGGGCGCCCCAAGTCTCTCCATTATTATGATGTAATGAAACAAGTTGTAGATATGCCCTTTGGGTCAGTAACTTGGCCATCATAATTATCGAACATACAGAAACAGCTAAAATGAACTTCAAGGAACATATTAATCACTTTGCAAACTTATAAGAAAGGAAAAAAAACAAATAAAAATAAATCATGAGCTACTTTTTAAAATATGTATTTGGTTAGTGGCGTCACAAGGTTCGATATCACGTGGTGCGTTTAGTGAATGTCACCCCCATCCCGTCTAACAATTTTGCATTTCCGGTGGAGTGTTACCCCCCTCTCCTTAATATTTTATTATTTAAACTGTATTAAAAATAGGTTTGACAGTAGATTTTACGAGTTTTCGTCATGGTGTCGCGCCTAAATTGTGAGGCTCCCGCCTTGTGAAGCTACTGTGTTAGGTTACTTAAAGGTTACAGACTTACAGTTAATTTGTTGTTTTTTTATAAAAGTGATATAAAATCAAAGATATTTTACGCTACAGGGTACTACATAATAATACCGTATAAATACACAACTATGGACGAATAAAACACACAATTTACAGATTGAGGGCCCAATAATAATTTTCGCATAGGGGCCCAAAAATCCTAGCTACGCCACTGCTGTGGTATTCGCGGGAAGCTGTCGTTCTGTTTCATGTCTCGATGTAGACACCGACAGACAGCATGAAATGAGACAGACGAAGACACTTTTGTACTGGGGCAGACAGACTGTTACAGTGATTTCTAAAGCTACACAGAGCTAAGTTCCAGTATATTTTTTATATTTTTATTTAAATACTATTTAAAGTTGTACTATATTATTTATTTTATGTTTACTGACCTTGTAATTCAAAGTATACAATAAAACAACAGCACATTACTATTTTGTATGAGACAAAATTAACCATACTCTTATCACTCTTAATATTTTATTTTAAGATATAAATACTCAACTTAAAAAAACCTACTAGTCTACTAGTTATAAAGTAAAACCTAAAACCTTGTTTTATTAAAGATAATGTTTCTTAAATTGTTTCTTAAATTAAAGGCAAAACTTACTTATAGTTGTAAATTCAAACCTAAAACATTGCCTTTATATTTATGCATATGTATTGAAATTAGTTGTCAACGCAATTTTCTAAAAGTCAGACTTAACAACAAATCAATGCCGTATGACCTATGACCTATTGTTTCTTGGGGTGAAAGAGTTTCAGGTAGGTGGCTTTAAACTTGGCACTCATGTTGTAGTATATGAAGATGTTGACGGACACGCCCACCTCGTCCAAGAACACGGAGGATTCACTGATGATGTAGTACACGGTACCCAGCCAGCCCTCGTAGTAAAACAGCCGCTCAAAAAACACGGAGGCGTATACAAACGCGATAGGCATGGCCGTGAAGATAAAAATCACGTTAATTATAATCAACATTTTAATTAATCTTACGTCTTTTGTCTCGCTGGTGTCATTTTTTCGAACATTCAAGAACTTTTTACGTTTTTTTGACAAGACTTGAAGGTGATGGCTGATTATAATAGTGCATACTATATCTAGAAAACATGGGCAGATTATGCTACCAGTGTGGATAACCAAAGCGTCGTTGTTGCTATGGTAACAGTTACTGATGTAGAATATGCTGAGTATCGTCATGTTGAGAGGCTCGTAGAAAACGTTCCTGACGTCAGTGCAGACGTAGAAGAGGGGGATCTCGATGACGTAGCTGAGGTAGATGGTGACGATGACGACAGTGGTGACGCGAGCGGTGAAGTAGCGCTTGACCTTGAGAGGTTGGATGATGCACGCGCATCGCTCGAGGTTGATGAGTACCTTGATCCACCGTGAGATGCGCGAGAAGATTTGGCTCGGGAACACTGGACAGGATATAACATAGTTAGTGGAGTACAGGTGGGGAGGAATATACATAAGATCACGTGATTAGCAGAGTACATATGGGGAATATTGTGCACTAAAATGGTATGATAAAACATATTTCCACGAAATACTAGCACATAATACTGATAAAATAATGAGTATGCATTTCCGCTTTTTTCCACCAAATTTGGGTTGTGCAGCTTTTTCAGGGTACCCATTCCTCTTTAAGCAACTGTATTATCAATAGATTATAGCTTAACATAACACACAACTGTATTATTCGACACTGTTCAATCGATTATCGTATATCAAAACACTTAAGTTACAAACCGTAAACGACGCCAAAAACTGCACTTCCCTTAGGAGAAAAAATGTCCAACTTACCTGTGACGACAAAGTTGACCTGGGAGTTCTCCACAGGTATGTACCAGGGCAGGTAACGGCAGGTGCTGAAGGCTATTGACCACACCAGGGGTATCAGGGACATCAGGTCAGCCAGAGAGATGGCGAAAAAACTGATGTTTACCGTATCCTTAAAACCCTGGGTGGACGACAAAGGGATTGGTTGGTGTAAGGAAGTCATTGTGTCATGGAATACAGAAGTTGATGTAATATTTATGTAAGGGAAACATTGCGTCATGGAATAAAGATGTTGATGTAATTACTATATAAGGGAAACATTGTGTCATGGAATACAGAATTTGATGTAATAATTATGTAAGGTAAACATTGTGTCATGGAATACAGAAGTTGATGTAATTATTATGTAATAAAGGCAGGGAAATCACTAATGTAATACAGACATTGTAATCAAAAGCAGTAAAGAATGAATAATAGTATAGAAATAATTTGCAATGGGTAGCTGTCGCTTAAACAAAGAGAAGAATTTGTTCCCTTCAAGACGTGTTTATTTGCATTTCAACATTGAAGTCGAAGTACTTTCCTAACTAACAAGCTCCACTTTAATTCCATGTATTAGCTTGCTTATTTCGTCTTCATGCTCATTGTAGGGGACCCAAAAAATGATCATGTACAATAAGATAGAGATTGGAGAAGCTTTATGATTATTTTTAAGAGTTACATTGGTAAAATGTTAGGAAATAGTTAGGAAATAAAGACATTAAATATAACAACAAAAATGCTAGTATGTGCTTTGAAAATAATAAAAAAATGTAAATTAGGAAAACTCTAGACAAATTTTGCCGAGGAAACTGAGCTACATATTTAAAATACCAGGACCAAAAATTTGTTGCTAACTTAAAATTGTGTTAATGCTATTAAATAAAACGAACTAACGCGCTTTTTTTTTAAAACAAATAATAAAACGCCATATGAAAACCCAAGGAAATGTACCTGCTTAAAGTAGACCAGAAGGTTGAGGCTGTTGAAGAAAATCCCGAAAACGCTGACCAGCAAGACGCCAATGATAAACACAACTAATGCGAAGATGTGTTTGAACTCTTTGCTGAGAATCACTGCTGGCTGCGCTCTAGCTGAAGCTAGCGGTGCTGTGATCACACTAGCTGCAGCCAGTGCAGTAGTGGTAGCACTTGCTGTAGTCATTGTAGCGGTAGCTTGGAAGGTGAACATTGTTGTCCTTGAGTTAAAAGATAAGATCATATATTCGTTGTGTGTTTCAGAAATTAAGTTTGTTGCAAACTAGCTTTGATTAGTTAGTGAATCTGCTGTTATCAGTAGTGTTGCTTACTCGCGTAAAGTTACTTTGATTTCAATTGTAGTTAGCTTTGTGTATACGGCTATTTTTACGGACAAAAATGGGTAACATACATTAATAAAGAAAAACTGATATTACTGGATTAAAGAAATACCAATCACCTTATGATGATTTTGCATAGTGCTAGAAAAAGCTACGTAAAACACACCACAGCGCAACTAGAATTAGAACTGTTAAGTTAGACTCACGAAAATACAATTCTTGAATACAATATCAAATACAAAAAGATACATTTTAAAATCTGCACAACGCGTTATCTGTTCCACGTGGCCTAGTGGTAGAGCGTTACACTGGTAACCCCCAAGTCTCGAGTTCGAATATGGGTTCAAGTGAAGGGAGCGTACCAAAGGTTGCTGGGCATTGTGATGACCACACTATTTCTACACTTACCCCATGAACGGTTACTTTCGATAAGTGAACTATTATTGCACTTTACAACTCAACTTAAGTATTGCTTTTTATTTTTTTGGTTAAGATAACATTATAATAATATATGTACACACTCACACCACACACTTTATGTACATATGTATATATATATATATATATATATATATATATATATATATATATATATATATATATATATATATATATATATATATATATTTAGAGAGAGAGAAAGAGATAGAGAGATACCTGTTTGTAGACATTTGTTTACTTGTTTATGTTTTTTGAATAGATCGCGCCAATAAATCTTCTATGCCACTGCTGTGTTTTAAAGAACAAAATGAAACAAAAATATCTTATTTATATAGGTAAATATTTTAGATGCACGTATTTCATTTTAAAATCTTGTTTATTGAAAAGTATTTATTATTTTAGAGAAAACAAAATTCACTAAATAATATAAAACATAAATAGTTTCTACAGAAAAAAAAATGTAAATCCATGAAAATACAACACCTTAAGTGTTATAAAAAAGTTCAGTGTCTTTATGCTAAAAACAGATGAATGAAAATTTAACGTCAACAAAATTACATAATTTTCATCACTTTTTAAAAATGTGCAAAAATTTGACTCTGTGTTCTATTCAACAATGGCGTCATCATCTTTATGCTAAAATAATGTCAAGATAATTTCAATAATGAGGGGAATGTCCAATTTCTCTCTCCTTTCATTGTTTTATGTCTATGTCAATAATTCACTCTTTTGAAGTCACAAAAGATAAAACAAAATATAATTATTAAAAGAAATTATAACAACAAACGAAAAATGTAAATTGCTCAAAATAATAAACAACAGAAGCAACATTTTAGAATCTAAAATAGAAATGAAAGTAAATTTATTTGCAGCCTTAAAATTAAAACGATTATAAGGGTAATAGTTAGAGCGTGATGTTTAAAAAAAATGTAGCTCACAAAAATAGACTGCGTTCAATACAATGTATGGAGGTATGTGGGATGGGTTTGGTACTGCTAACCCTAAAGTATGTGTGTGTGTGTATGTGTGTGTGTATGTGTGTGTATGCGTGTGTGTATGCGTGTGTCTATGTGTGTCTGTGTGTGTCTGTCTGTGTCTGTCTGTGTCTGTCTGTGTCTGTGTGTGTCTGTGTGTGTCTGTGCGTGCGTGCGTGTGTGTGTGTATACTTTGGTCTGTTAGTGTCGATAATAAACAACAATAACTTAAAAAAGCCGTATTTAACTTATCTAAGCGAAGATAATCGAAGAGAGATTAATAAAAATGTATTTAACATGAGTAATTCCCCTTACGTTTTAAAACTAGACGAGACACTGTTATGTTATTGAAATGTGATTTCTTAAAACGTTAACACATTTCCTTGTGTTTGAGTCGGCTTCATTGTTCCCGCTAAATTTCGTCGCTTACAAACAGTGTATTTTATTGTAAAAAATTAACTTTAAAAGTGGTAAAATTTTTGCATACGGTTAACTAATTCGCAAAATGAATTATTCTTTGAGGAATCAGAAACAAATTTGACGTTGTTTCGAATAATGTAAACACACATTTGTTCAAGTGAGTGTGGGATATGTGTTTGACTTGGAAAATAAAAATACTGCTACACTGTGATATTGTGTTTGTTATCAGTAAAATCGACTTCAACAGTATAGAAATATACATATTTAAATTAATAGTTCTATTTGTATTAAGACTTTTTTAAAATTGCTAGTTGTTTTTTAACTCAACTTTATCTGCCGCTAACGTTGCTTAATCTGTGTACACTATTGTGATGGGAAGCAATCAAATGTGCTGCTCCTACATAAATTATTAATCTCGTTGTTTGAGATATAGATGGAAAGTTTCCGCAAGCAACATCATCCACGGTTATAGTCATGTACATTAACGTTTCTTCTAAATCGTCACTTCTCTGAAAGCCAAAAAGTATTCATTAAAAAAATTAACATGATTTACGTATGTATTGTTGCTAGGCTACTAACATGAAAGTCTCGAGGTGGAATCCGATACCATCCCAGTAGAACGCCCCTAGTCCAACCGGCTGTGATGGGATACCTAACTCACGCTAGGGAGAGTAAACGCGGCTGGGCATTGTGCTGACCACATTATTTCTTCATAGGCCGAGGTCATGAAATATATAAACTCTACTTCATCTTCCCCAATTGATAGGCAGGTCTAAAGAGTAATTAATTTTTTTTAAATTAGTAAGCTTTATAATGTCAGCCTGGTATGGGCTAGCATAAAACAAAATACCTTCATTAATATTGTTTTAATTAGCTAATGGTATTATAAATATTTGAATGATATTCTAAATCAGGGGCGGAACTACAGTGCCGCCAGACCCCGCAATGCGGGGGGGGCCACGCCATTTAGGGGCCCACAGCCGACCATAATTTTTTTTATAGTTAAAAAAAATAATTTACTTGCATTTTTGAATTCATGGTTGTTTTTTTAAAAAGAATACCGTAGCTGCAATTGGATTATCTTTATTCTATAGACACCGCCCCACGCTCTTGTATATTCTTTTTCCCTTTGTTTTTAAACCACTGTGAAAGCCGAGTCTTCTTTCTCCTACAATCAAACTTATCAAAGATAAGCAGACTTCCATGACTTATTTCCCTTTTTTAAATATTCAAATAGTGGTGCTCATAAGCTCCTTTTAGTAGATTTGTACTAAACAAATTAAAAAGCAATTACTTCTCTTAATAATTTTTTTTAAAAAGTACTTACAAAAGAAAAAGATTGTATAAAAAGGAAATGTATTTAAAATGAATAATTTAAAAACAAAACAAAACAAAAAATAAACATAACACGAAACACCATTACTTATACAAAGCTTTCACGGTTTATATTCTTTTGACCGACTAGTCGCTAAGAGGTCTTTTAGCACAGTTAAATAAAACTCATTTTCGCAAAACACACTGATGCATTTACACACATGACATGATGTTGTATTTTGTTATATTTAAAAAAAAAACATTTTTTTCCAAACCCGAACAGGCCAGCAATGAGTATTCTATTTTCGTATTTTGTGTTTATATATATATATATATATATATATATATATATATATATATATATATATATATATATATATATATATATATATATATATATATATATATATATATATATATATATATATATATATATATATATATATATGGGGGGGGGGGCCTAAAAAATATTTTTGCGGGGTGGCCCTTTTTTTCTAGTTCCGCCACTGTTCTAAATATTCTAATTGTATTCTAAAAAATCCTAACAATATTGTTTTTTATACATTGTGTATGTCTACGTTTCCCAGCCGCCTTTACTTTTCCTAGGTATCCATCAGAGCTGGATGGACTAAGAGATGTTCCACCGATTTAAACCCGGATTCAAACTTGAGACTTTCAGATTAGCAGTCTAGCACTCTACCTCTAGGCGACGCCTTTCCACGATGACAAAAATGCTTGTATTTCAATCCATGAACATAGAACAGCTTGGTCTCTCGTTAGAGTCAACAATAGCTAAGCTAAAGTCCCAAGATTGGATCGCCTGCATATACAGTGTAAGTGTGGTTGAGTGTGTGTGAGTGGTTGAAATTTTGTGTACATGTGGTTCAGTGTGTGTGAGTGGTTCAGTACGTCTGCGTGTGGTTGAAATTGTGTGTGTGTGGTTGAGAATGTGTGTGTGTTTCAAAGTGTATGTGACTGTGTGTTTGTTGTTGAGAATTTGTGTGAATGTATTTTTAAATGTGTTGCGTGTCGGTTGTGTGATTTAGTGCGTGGTAGATGAACAACCCTCTCCTCTACACACACTCAAATCTCTCCTCCAAACACAGATACCACACAACCCTCTCCTACACACACACAACCCTCTTTTCCACACACACACACAACCCTCTCCTACACACACACAACCCTCTTCTCCACACACACACACAACCCTCTCCTCCTCACACACAACCCTCTCCTCCACACACACACAACCCTCTCCTCCACACACACAAACAACCCTCTCCTCCACACACACACAACCCTCTCCTCCACACACACACAACCCTCTCCTCCACACACACACAACCCTCTCCTCCACACACACACACACAACCCTCTCCTCCACACACACAACCCTCTCCTTCACACACACAACCCTCTCCTCCACACACACAACCCTCTCCTCCACACACACAACCCTCTCCTCCACACACACACAACCCTCTCATCCACACACACACAACCCTCTCCTCCACACACACAACCCTCTCCTACACACACACAACCCTCTCCTCCACACACACAACCCTCTAATCCACACACACACAACCCTGTCCTCCACACACACAACCCTCTCCTCCACACACACACACAACCCTCTCCTCCACACACACAACCCTCTCCTCCACACACCCAACCCTCTCCTCCACACACAC